TAAATTTAATTAATAATTTTTGAAAGTATTTTTAAAAAATAAATTTATAAATTCTTTTAAAAAAATAATAAAAACTTTTTAAATGTTAATTAATGTATTTATCGGCCTTTTAATTAATTTTAAACTGGAATTTTTTTTTATTATTAATCTATAAATTCCCAAAATAACACAAGACATTATCCTTCTAATATATACGACCTTATTCTTAGGCCACACCTTCTAGATATTTTATTCTATCTGAACCAATCAGATGCGTCGTACGTCTATAGATTTACTTGTCAGAACATTCCAGCATCCGTATCTATCTCGTCTCTCGCTCCTCCCATTCCAATCGCTTAAACTTAAACTATACGTTCGTGTTTAAATGTACTTTAATGTTTATTGTTTATTTAAGAAAAAAAATAATAACCAAAATAATAAATTACAACTAAAATTTTATTTTTTATCAACTTTATTCTTTATCTATTGATCGAAATTTATTTGAAAAAATTTAGAAATTTGTGTAAAATTCTATTTAAATAATTTATAAAGATTATCACGTATTTTCGATCGAGATAATGTCCATATAGGCCTATCGAGCAGATTTAACAAATTTTTATCATGTTATANGTTCCTTATGATGCTGATCAGAGACAACTCAGTACCTAAGGCCTATAATATAGCTCAATATAATTTGGTAATCATTTGGCTTTAATGTATAATTATAAGGTTTGGATGTTTATAATTGTTAGCTAGATCCATAATAATATTGGCTAGCATGGATAAGATATCAGAAAGGACAGTCCAATTTGGTTTATTCATGATACAGTATAAGAGATTTTAAACTATATATATATATATATATATATATATATATTGATGTTATATTTCATCAACATATATAACAGTAATAAAATATATATAATCGATTTTTTTTAATGGAAACTTTTGCATTTATGCACATAAATGGAATAATGTAAATGTAATTTCATGTAGCTGCAAACAATGGAAAAACCCCTTACCTTTTCCTGACGTCAACTCCTATGCAACATGCATCCCACGTGAAATCAAAATTTTATCATTTTCAACCTTTATTGTATGACGTAACAGCCGAGCATATTGCCATTGGCAGAAAGCCAGCGACCAATCAGCGATCATATTAGAGAAGGAGTGGACGGAATTCACCGTTCCGAGAGAAGTCTTTCTTAAATACCGCCTACATTATCGTTCGTGGGGGCGTAATCTCGAAGCTGACTTTAGACGGCTCCATTCCTGTAAGACCGTCACACAGCACAACAGCCAACATCCCCAAGACACTATGCAGACCGGAGACAAGAAAGGAAGCCACAAAGATATAGGAACACTTTTGTATACAGGTAACAAATTAATTTAGTCGTCTTTATTAAAAAAAATACAAAAGTATAATCAACTTTACGAAAAAAATCGAAATTAATATATTTTTTTCATTAAACTATCACGATTCTTTTTTGTTTTTTGCTTAAATTTGCAGGTTGTTCGGCCTTTTAATATGTGCAACAACTTTACAAGATTTAAAATCCAATCTTCTAAGCTACAAGTTTTATTTCTAAATAATCGAATAAATAATTCTTTATGATTTATTTATTAAAAGCTAAAACTTTTTAGCATCGTTACAAGTCTGATCGCTGTTTAGGAACTCGTATAGAAGCTCCTAAATAGAAGCCGATACTTAAATAGTCTTTAGGGAATTCTTCAGTGGTCTTGTGGTTAGAATCGAGCGTAGTCTCTAGACAATCCTACGCTATATCTGTTAATGTAATTGTTTAACTCATTGTTATTTTAAGAAATTTTTATAACAAAATCATAGCTTAGATTGTTAACTGTAATTAACATTTTCGTTATCATTTCTTGTTTAATAATCGAGAATAATTAAGAGATTATTTTCGCTTAATTTATGTAAATATGTGTGCAATGTATGTACAATGAAAGATATCGGTATTTATTAAGTAAACAATTATTTTATTCGTGTTCTTTTCAGTAAGGAAAGTAATCCTTTCACAATGTAACTTTAAAGGAAGGTTGCCTGTAAATCGCGCTTCACCTTCTGACAAATCAAGCATACAGTCAAAGCTCCTTTGTCCCCTCTAAATGCAATTTTCTTTGTGATAAATATCACGAGAAATATTGCTCAATAAACGTTTTTTTAGTACATAATCTAAAGTACAAAATCGAGTATAAAGTGTTCTCTCTCTTTTCTAATTCTTCTTTATATTTTATATTTATTTTAAAAACTAATATTGTGATTTTAAAAATTCTTTAAAAAAAAAAAAGAAGAAAAAAAAAAATGAAATAAAAATTGTGTGAAATGATTTTGAGGTCGAACATCTGCAATGCAGTCATTCAAGATTTTGGGGAGTTTGCGCAATACTCTTGACGGGTCGATTCTAAACAATTTTAACAAATTTGCACCTTAAATAACTTTTATAATTGTGGCGTAGTAAACACTAGTATTGTGTTTTATTCCAAAGACACATGGCAAGTTTTCCATCAAATTCTTTTATTAGTTGAGTCGATACGGTACATTGTTTTGTACTCGTTTCGGACTTTGCCCCTCTTCAGTCAACTAAAATACAATATATATATATTTTTTAACTTATTACAGTAGAGAATTTACATAAAACAATGAGTACATAAACAATATATAGACGTACTGTACGTCTATATATTTCTTATGTACTCATTGTTTTATGAAGAGGGGCAAAGCCCGAAACGAGTACAAAACAATGCACCGTATGGATTCAACTAATAAAGGAAAACTTGCCATGTGTCTTTGGAATAAAACACAATACTAGTGTTTACTACGCCACAATTATAAAACTTGACACGGTTTCAAAAAACAAATCAACTTTTATAATGATAATCGAATGCCTTTCTCTTCAATAAATAAATTACTTTCTCTAATTTCATTTTTAATTATTGCAAGGAAATTTGATCCGAAAGTGAGAGAAGTAGAGGGTCGTAATCACTGACCAGAAATCACCTTAATTAAGCCACTTGTCAAGAAGGTGAGAGGTTTTGGGTCAGGGGTCGATACAAGAGATTAAGCAACTTGAAAAGAAAGTATTCATACATGTTCATCATCTTATATATTGGACTAATGGAGGTTCAAATGTGTTATAAAACTGATCTGCAAGATTTATGTATAAATAAAAAAAAAGCATAAAGCTGTAAATAATTAACTATAAAGAAATAATTATACAAAATTTCTGTATTTATTGATCATTAATCAAAGGTGAGATAATTATTTTAAATGTATTACTATCGAGGAGTTAAAACACAATAAAGATGTATAGTAAATAAACAAAATTAGCATTTTTACAAATTTCAAACACGATCTTTCTATATTAAATAATTAAAAAAAATTAATTGTACTGATATAAATAATGTCACTAATTTTATTATTAAAATACAGAATTTAATAAAAGTTAGAAAATAAAATTTGAAATTCTTAAAGAATTTTTTAAGTTATTNTTCTGTGAGCAGTTGTGTTCGTAAAATTAAAATAAGTTTTTTATTTAATAATTTATTATTAATTATTTCAATAAATTTATAAAATTAATAACAAATTTCACATTTCTAAACTTAAAATAACACTGTATATACCAGAGAAAATTAGTGGATTAATTAAAATTCGAAATATTTTCTACATTTCAAATAAATCTGAATTTCATTTAGAGAGTCAAAATTACATCCTCGATAATAACTTGGCCAGTAAATCACCTTTCACGACACCTGATAAGGTTCCTTTTGTATAAATGGTGACACTACTGACGATAGCTCATGTTGCGGAAAGACACGTCATAACTTACAGAAGTTTCTATTAATTCTGCAACACAATGCCAACCTATCAGTAATATATATGACACCACAAAATATGTTAGAATTTCCGCTACATGCTGATAAAACTTAACGGAAGTTGGGTCCTGCTATGGTTAATGACATCATGCTTTATATACATAACATATTCCTTCGACAGATACTGCTTAAGTTGATTTTCTTATTTAAAAAAAATTAAATTAAGGTACCTTAATTTTATCTTGTATATGAGAATAAAGGAAAAAAAATTCTCATTAGGCGTGTATTATTCGAATACAATAAAGCTAAATACTACTGATTGGAAGTAGACTTTTCATAGCATACTGAACAGTAGTTATGAAACGAGATACCATTTAGAAATCGGAGAATTTCGGGATAGATGAGTCGTTGTAGTGAGGGATATATCCCTTGGGATAAACCAACATTAAATGACAGCTCTCCATAAATAATGAAGTAGAACCGAAGGGATAGACAAGTAAAATCCGAGAGATTACAGTAAATTGATTGATTCTTCCATATTCCGATTTTAAGATACGTTTAATTTTAGTTGAATTTCTACTGTAAAACATATTTATTTCAAGTATATCTTAGCTAAACTTTCAGATTTATATTAGAGAATAGCGGTAAGAGGATAAGCAGGAACTCTTCTCTATAGAAGTGTTGGGATGACAGAATGAGTGATCCTTTATTAAAGGACCCTTCACCATCACTCCCAACACTTCAACGAACTCCTGCTGGTTTAATTAATAAGCGACAGTAGCTAAAGTTATAAATCAGTCATTATTCTTATTAAGTTGCACTTGCGATAAAACTTGCCATTTTTATTAAAAATAATATTTTTAAAATATCAAATGAATCAAATTTCGTTTAAATTATTTCCAACATAAAAATATGCAAAGTTTCCGCATTATTATTAAATGTACTTTTAAAAATTTTAATATAATTTTATTATTTAAACAGAGAAGTGATATTAAATTTTTCATATCTTTTGAGCTAAACTTTTGAAAAACTTATAATAAAAGTCTTAATATTTCATACATTTTAATACTTATTGTTTCATTAATAGGCCTATATTTATTTTCTAAAAAGAGTTTAATGTTTTATATAATTTCATAAAAATATATTAGAATAATCGGTTTATATTTAAGTCTATTTACAATAAAATTTATAATGGTAAAAATTATAATACAATTTGAATGTTTTTAGGTAAAGTATGATGATTAATGTCACATTTCTTCGTGAAATTAGTCTCATACAACTGGCTATTTGACATAATCTTTTACATAAAAATAAAGTGTATTTTATATAATATTATTACATATTTTCGTAATATTCATAAATCAAATAAAAATCTAACAATTCATCTTTATACTATTTATAACGATGTGTTTTTTTTTCAATAATGCGCATCCCTAATGAAATAATTGAATAAATTCGTTGTATAACTTCATTGAATAGTTTTTCTCAATTTATTTTTGTAAATATACAGCAATTATTTGTGGGGTAACTTAAAATAATTTTAAACCAACGTTATAAGAAGACTGTTCTATACTAACTTATAAGAATATGTCTAGAAAGATCGCTATGATTTGCCTCAAAGAAAAATAAAAAAATATTGTAACCATCGTGATCAGCCACAGATTTTAAACAGGGTCTAAGTCTCTTTGATTATATGAAATAGTTTAACGAAGCTTTTCCTAAATTGTAGTTCTCAGACCAGTTTTTAGATGGCCTGCAAACGTTCAAAAGATATCTACAGTAGTAATATTTGCGCTTATTTTCCTAAAAATATATTGATAGAATCGCAACGAGATTATAGAGAACATTGTTTGTTTTAGTGTGTATATGTTTTATATATATATATATAGAAGTCGCTTTCCTCATAGAGCGAGTTTAATCCTCGCCACTTATAAATGTATGAATCACTTAAGCGCTCAGCTAACGGAAAGCAGCTTGTAGACTGAAGCGATCCTTTGGTGCAGCGCTGATCTTTTATAGTCCTGTGCGTTATATTAATAGGCCGGCCTAATACCCTAATATAGTATACAAACATACAAATACATATATAGGAATCTTCAAAGTACTATTAGACTTTTTAAAGGGATTTTTAGATCTAAGTTGTTCCTGAACTAATGAGATTTAGACATTTTTTTTTCTTTTTGTAGAATCAAATAAAACTGGTGTCATATGAAATTAAAATAACATGTAAATTAATTTTTTTAATACTGTACTTGTTTCTTCTTGAATCTGTATGATATTTCAATTAAAATCAAAGTATAGTACTGTATATAATTTCATCTATCTTTAATTATTTAGCAAAATTAATTGATCTAATCTATAAAAATATAGCCTATATGTTAATTTTATGTTTTAGAACATAATCTGATATTTTTCTTTATAATTAAAATACTTTTATTATCAATAATGTTTAGTTATATTCGATTTTATATAGGCTATACAATCTAAACACAACAAAGTAGCAATATCATTATCAAATTACGCTTGTAATTTAAGAACTAAATTATAATTTATTAAATTATTAATCAAAATTTTTAAATTTTTTTTCTTATTTTTTACATTTTAAAAGATAATTATAGAAAGATAAATGATTTTGAAAATTATGCGTGACATTTTCATAAGACTCTTAGGTTACTCTTTCAAACGGTGATTATATAAGATTTATCTGAACTAATTTTTAATTTATGTTCATTATAATAATAATAATTAATTAAATTTATTTTTGGGGGTTAATAGGACTATAGTATCTGCATATTGTAATTAATAAATAATAGTATCGTTAACTACAACATCGTCTTGAATAAAAGAAATAAATGTAGTAATAGAGGATCACTCACGTATGATAGAGCGTATCAATTTCGACACTACAACAAAATCTTTCTCTACTCTTAAAAATAGAAAAATTGATAATATTTTTATGCTAGATGAATCTGAAAACTAAAATTTAGCAAATGAAGTTCTTATGTTTATTCAGTAATTAAATATTAACCAATGGTACTTTTCATAAAGCAGGCAACAAAACAATTAGGAAGCAATTTGTTGAATTTAAATAATCACCTTTCTGAAACACCATTAAGAAAATATTTATATTCTACACTATAGGAATTTGACTTTCAGTGTAAATATAACTAAATAAACATTTTAAAAATACATTTATACTGTATATATTCTAAGCATTACAGTTTATATTCATATTATTTAAAAAAAAAATAAACAAATAAAATTAAAAAAACAACCATATTCATAAAAAACAATTTTTTTAAAAATATTTTTTTAGATCTGTATCCTCACGATAGAGATGCATACGGGGTAACCAGGGAATTTTTGCTTCGAGTTGTTGATATTCTGATCGATTTTCTTCGAAAATCCAATGACAGATCCAATAAAGTCTTAGATTTTCATCATGTAAATCAGTTGAGGGAAGTCTTAGATCTGAGGATTCCCGAAGAACCCCAAAATTTGGATCAGCTTTTAGTCGATTGTAAAGACACACTCAAATATCAGGTGAAAACAGGTAAGATATTTAATGTCTAGTATAAGAATAGTTATAGTACATGAGATATATTTTAGCAATAGAGAAAACTTTGTGTGAAGATTATTTATTTTTAAAATTAATCTTATAATATAAATTATTTTGATACATGTTTTAACAGTATATTGGAGTAGACTGCTACAATTATTTCTTTATAATATTTTGTGTAAGACTATTATATAGTTAGGTGATGAATCTTAACTGAATGGTGTTTTCTGATATATAAAAAAAAAACACTTTCATTCAATTCTGTCAATGCAGTAATTACATTATACATAAATGTAGCTAACCATTTATAAAATTCTTCAATATATTAAATAAAAATACTATTAAAAAATGAAATTTAAGAACATAGTCTTAATTTCAAATATATTAATTAAAATATTTTTTTATTAATAAAAATGCAATATTCAATATCATACCTGAGACACAAATAAAAGCTGCAATATTATATTAAAGAAAATAAAAGCAATATTTAATATCATACCTGAGACACAAATAAAAGCTGCAATATTATATTAAAGAAAATAAAAGCAATATTTAATATCATACCTGAGACACAAATAAAAGCTGCAATATTATATTAAAGAAAATAAAAGCAATATTTAATATCATACCTGAGACACAAATAAAAGCTGCAATATTATATTAAAGAAAATAAAAGCAATATTTAATATCATACCTGAGACACAAATAAAAGCTGCAATATTATATTAAAGAAAATAAAAGCAATATTTAATATCATACCTGAGACACAAATAAAAGCTGCAATATTATATTAAAGAAAATAAAAGCAATATTTAATATCATACCTGAGACACAAATAAAAGCTGCAATATTATATTAAAGAAAATAAAAGCAATATTTAATATCATACCTGAGACACAAATAAAAGCTGCAATATTATATTAAAGAAAATAAAAGCAATATTTAATATCATACCTGAGACACAAATAAAAGCTGCAATATTATATTAAAGAAAATAAAAGCAATATTTAATATCATACCTGAGACACAAATAAAAGCTGCAATATTATATTAAAGAAAATAAAAGCAATATTTAATATCATACCTGAGACACAAATAAAAGCTGCAATATTATATTAAAGAAAATAAAAGCAATATTTAATATCATACCTGAGACACAAATAAAAGCTGCAATATTATATTAAAGAAAATAAAAGCAATATTTAATATCATACCTGAGACACAAATAAAAGCTGCAATATTATATTAAAGAAAATAAAAGCAATATTTAATATCATACCTGAGACACAAATAAAAGCTGCAATATTATATTAAAGAAAATAAAAGCAATATTTAATATCATACCTGAGACACAAATAAAAGCTGCAATATTATATTAAAGAAAATAAAAGCAATATTTAATATCATACCTGAGACACAAATAAAAGCTGCAATATTATATTAAAGAAAATAAAAGCAATATTTAATATCATACCTGAGACACAAATAAAAGCTGCAATATTATATTAAAGAAAATAAAAGCAATATTTAATATCATACCTGAGACACAAATAAAAGCTGCAATATTATATTAAAGAAAATAAAAGCAATATTTAATATCATACCTGAGACACAAATAAAAGCTGCAATATTATATTAAAGAAAATAAAAGCAATATTTAATATCATACCTGAGACACAAATAAAAGCTGCAATATTATATTAAAGAAAATAAAAGCAATATTTAATATCATACCTGAGACACAAATAAAAGCTGCAATATTATATTAAAGAAAATAAAAGCAATATTTAATATCATACCTGAGACACAAATAAAAGCTGCAATATTATATTAAAGAAAATAAAAGCAATATTTAATATCATACCTGAGACACAAATAAAAGCTGCAATATTATATTAAAGAAAATAAAAGCAATATTTAATATCATACCTGAGACACAAATAAAAGCTGCAATATTATATTAAAGAAAATAAAAGCAATATTTAATATNAATTCCATTCCGTTAATATTATTTAATTGAAATTTTTAAATTCAACACTGGATGAAATAGAATGCGGGACACGAGTTTCGCATTTGGTTTCACACAGTAGCCGTATGACCTATCTGGGTACGATTCATAAAAATAGACAAAGGCTACATATAGGAGGAGCAGAGGGGACAGATTTAATAACGGGTGGCCCCGTTGCTAGGTAACGGGGATGCTCTTGACGGCAACCAGAAGAACTGTTATTTATGGGCCAATTATGTCCAATTTCGCGGGTGCTGACGCCATCACTCTTACACTAAACCATCTCGTTTGTTTCCACTAATAACAATCCCTCTGAGAGTAGCGGGCCAAAAATCAAAACAGCTCAGATTTCAGTCCCCGGTGTAATTTGCCAAGGGGATTAAGCTTAGAGGGATATAATGGATTTGTTCGTTTCGTAGTTACTTCCACGTCTTAAAACGAGAACTTTTCTATCAGTCAACTTCACTATATCATACGCCTCTAAGAGCAGGCCTACTCTTTTAGTTTTTATGTAGTCTATATCGTAAATATTATCTTTATTATCTACAATTAGCTATTGTTACAGAGCCTTGTAAGTGATAAAAAAAAAATGTCTTCTAAAATTTAGCATTAAATATTTCCCACCCTCATTACTATATTAAATTTCATCTGATTTATTAAATGTTATCGAACTTTAATGTACATAGAAAATAAGGTGTTAAATTTTCTAAACACCCTATAAAGTATTTTATCTATTATAACAGTATTCCAGTTAAGAATCTGTTACTAATATAAACACTTCTATTTTTTTTAGATTTTTTTGAGAATATTATTCAATCTTACATAAAAGAAATAATTTTAAAATAGAGAATTTACATATTTTGCTATATTCTATCCCCGTATTCCTGTAAAGTTAGCCAGAGCGTGAAATAAACGTTCCGCTCGACGGAGCGAATTTGTCTCTCTAGGCATGCTCCGACTTTAACTTCTAGATAAGCTTAATTGTTGGAGATCGGGCGAAAGTATGACAAACGATTTCTGTAGAGGTTTGTGACATGCCCTGCTTCTTCTGGACACGAGTAGCCTAATTGTTATCTGTTTATCTCCCTATCTCCCGTGCCACGCGCTCAGTACGTCATCGTGCATAGTGATAGCCAGTTTGGAAATATGCATTTTGTAATTGCTATTACAATCTTGTAAACCAAGATTGAAAATAATGGGGATAACCCCAGCAGCAAACAAATCGTTAATAGCATCATTTAGTCAGCCGGTATTTGCGTTATGTTTGCATTTTCAACCGAAATTATTACATTACACCACAAAAAGTTAAAGAAATAAAAAATCGTAGGTAGTATTTTTGATCTAAACCTTTGTAATCATGTAATAATTTGTAATTTGTAACAATAGTTATAAATGTGAAGTGAATTTCTTTACAGTCGACCCCCTATAACACTGTTGATAATTCCGTTTTATATGAATTCCATGTTGTACGAGTCACTTAGATTTTACAAATATGTATGCCGGGCTGTGAACGACTCGCGTATTTGTAAAATCTAAGTGACTCGTACAACATGGAATTCATATAAAACGGAATTATCAACAGTGTTATAGGGGGGTCGACTTGTATATACATAAACCTATCTCAGGTTTTTCAATTGAATTTTTCTAGAAATAACATAGAAGTGGATTAAATTTGATAAATTTCAAAAAAAACACTAGAACTTTGTGTTAGTTTGACTACATTTTGTCAATTTCTGAAAAAGCTTAAACAAAACAAACCGGTATTCTTTCCGCCGATTACACTAATTACTTCCATTCAATGTTCAATAGACTGCAAAGAAAGAAAATGAGAATCACTGCAAGGAGAAAAGATCTAAAAGCTAGGCTACAAAAGGCGTGTCTAGCTGACAAGGACAGCTGTCACTAGCTCCATCTGTCGCCCGGAATCGACATCAATCAATTCCGACTGACGCTATCGAAATTGGAACAAGAGAAGCAATTCCTGACATTAACGTTGAAAAGTCATTATTCTAGAAAAGAAAGAAAAAAAAAAAGTATAGCACGAATGGTGCAGCATTAAACTGCCGCATTCATTACAGTTAGATTTCCTTTCATTGATCTATTTTTGGAATTGATCCCAGTATTTTTTTTTAAATTTTTTTCGTATTAAAACTAATAGGATGTCACTTACAGCTTAAAATATAGTTATAAATAATATGGAAAATATATAATTTATCACTTGTTTACGACTTGTGTGAATTTCTGTCAAGTACAGTAAAGGACTAATCTTAATTCGGAAGTGGAATTACATAAAACATGAAATATATCTTACTAGAAACAAGAATGGAAATATTATTTACTAACTTAGACTAACAACAGTTGAATACAAATACAGTAAAACCTGTGTAAACCGTACCGTATCGAATATTTTTCCGGTTTGAAAGGTTTTCGTTTTATTAAGGTTTCGTTTTGTATAGGTTTTACTGTAGGCCTACTGTACTTTTTATAAAGAGTGAAGAGATAAATTTTCTTCCGTAAAATAAACTTTCAATGTATTGATAATCATAAGATTGTATTTTATTTAGATACATTTGACGTAAATTTTTTACGTTAAATCATTTAATTTTTGTGAACATTTGAAGTTAATAAATGCTAGATGCGATGGATTGAAAGTGAATAAAGTTGTTTTTAATTTGGTGATTACGTTATTTGTTTAATTATCGTGTTTTTCGGCGGATAAGGTGCGTATTATACGCCGGCATATATGGTACAGTAGATCCCCCCTATAACACTGTAGATAATTCCGTGTTATATAAATTCCATGTTGTACGAGTCACTTAGATTTTACAAATACGTGAACCGTTCACAGCCCGGCACACGTATTTGTAAAAGCTAAGTGACTCGTACAACATGGAATTTATATAACACGGAATTATCTACAGTGTTATAGGGGGGATCTACTGTACCATATATGCCGGCGTATAATACGCACCTTATCCGCCGAAAAACACGATAATTAAACAAATAACGTAATCACCAAATTAAAAACAACTTTATTCACTTTCAATCCATCGCATCTAGCATTTATTAACTTCAAATGTTCACAAAAATTAAATGATTTAACGTAAAAAATTTACGTCAAATGTATCTAAATAAAATACAATCTTATGAAAGTTTATTTTACGGAAGAAAATTTATCTCTTCACTCTTTATAAAAAGTACAGTAGGCCTACAATAAAACCTATACAAAATGAAACCTTAATAAAACGAAAACCTTTCAAACCGGGAAAATATTCGATACGGTACGGTTTACACAGGTTTTACTGTATTTGTATTCAACTCTTGTTAGTCTAAGTTAGTAAATAATATTTCCATTCTTGTTTCTAGTAAGATATATTTCATGTTTTATGTAATTCCACTTCCGAATTANTTAATTCTATTATGCATATTTTTATAATTACTTTTAATACTTATAACTTTGTAAATTATTTCGGAAATAAGTAATCACGTTGCGCAATTATTACTTAACAATGTTTCTTTTAATTCTATAGATAACATTTAACATTGTTTATCTAAATAAATGATTTATTTTTTTTTTATTTAATGCTTTAAAGTTATATTAAACTATTGGTATTATTTATTGTAAATGTGTATATATATTTTTAGTTTCTAGATATCGTAGTTCAAATGTCCAGAAGTTATCTTTATTACTGCTGTAGATATCTATAAGCGCTTAATGTTTACATAGACTAGTTTCTATGCCTTATCTGTACTAAACGTTTGGAATAAGAGTCTCATTTTCCCTCGAGCCACTGTGGATTATTGCTCATCGAGACAATATATTGCCTAACGGTATATTTAGCTCATTTCGGGTCATAGGTTTATGTTGTTTGTTGTATGATCAGCCCGAAGCACTCTTCGGGATAATTATTTTTCAAATTACACTTTAGTTTCTCTCTTTTTTTTTTTTTGTACAAGTTTAACTTCCAAACGGTTGACGTCATAATCGAAAGAGAAGAGCGGTTTCCGAGACAACGGATGCAGCATTGGAAACTGACGGGGCGGAATAAGTAGCAAATAATTACAATGCTGTAGCCAAATGGCTGTTGCGTTTACGCCATCAGTTTGGCCGATAAAGAACATCACACGCTTCAAAAAGTAATGTAACTGCTACCGTTAATGTCGCAACTATTCTAGATTTTCCATAAATCATATTCATACGTTACATGTTATTTATACTTTTTAATCAACTCTTTAAACTTTCAAATTATTCTAAAGGGAGAAATAAATTGCATAAAATGACGTGGCATGTATTTTAAAATTAACTATAATAATTTGAACATGGTTAAATGAACAAAACGATATCGAAGAAATCGAAATTATATGGTACAGCGCCATTTCTTCCCTGTGGATAATCCATAAAAGTATACGAATCCCTAGATAGGTTTGAGCGATGATGCAGAGGAGCTCGCCTATAATCACAGCCAGCCATATGTTACGGGTGAAGGAACATTGATTTTAGCTTGTCCTTCTGATAGGAACAGATAACGTTGGAATTTCTGGAACTCCAGAATTGATCCTTACACCGTTAGCTTAGCCTTAAACCATTCGAATATATTTACTTCACAGAGCATTTAAATCTTCTGTCTGTTATTATTACCGCATAGATGAGAATTAAGTATACAGCAGTTAAATTATACATGGAAGAAATGAAACGACCGTAGGAAATATTTTCCGACTCTTATATGACATATTTTTAAATTGGAATTCCTGCATACGAGTCATTGATTTAGTGTCAGGAAGCAAGGAAATTTAATTTGTAAACCTAATTTGTGGCGAGGTGAAGAGTAATTGTAGCTCACTCCTCCTACAATATCTCGGAACGTAAAGCTAGCCGGACAATGGATTTTGGCAGGCAGATGAGTAATTGGAAGCGATTGCAGTTGTGTCACTTGATTGGTTCGCGATTCGACGATTGGCCTAAACTGACTCATCTTTCTAAATAGAAAGTTAAAAAAAAAAGAAAGAAAGAAAAAGTTTATATATAAATTTAAGTTTTGATTCTGAGAAAGAAAAGTTTTATTCCTAACTTTTCCTGCTTCTCCCATGTGTCAATCCAACGCGTAGAACGACAATCTAAATCAATTAAAACTGTGGAAACGCACTGTCGATCACGTAATGTTGCTGTGCCGTCTGTCAATTTTCTGACTCACTCCCGACATTCTGTTGAATCCATTTGGCTAATTTCAAGCTGATACATACGAAACTTTCCATAATAAACCAAATGAAGATATTACTAAACATAATTGCAATCACAGCAGTGACTTCTGACAGTATACATTTTAAATCAGTTGATTTAGAAAACAAATGAGGAAATTTAATAGTTTTTTTCCCTCCTGTAATTATTGATGAAATAAAAAAAATTCTTTCTTTTTTTTTCTTTGTAAGACAAAGCTAATTATTATAAAATTTTTACCTCTGACACTTATCAGACAGCCCGATCAATCGGAAATTTGCCAGATGACACAAATGGAACTTCAATGTCAAACTGGCTTTAAGCTTGAGTACCAACAGGTGACCGAACCATTCCCTCCAAATCTGTAGACAGAGAACTTCAATTAAACTTTTATTTTATTGTTCTTTTGCTTTCCCTTTTATGTATTTTTGTATTTTTAATACGTAGGAATAACAAACGATGTATATATTCCGTTCTATCGATTTAATTTGTCACTAGCATCCTTCTTCTCCCTCTTGTTCTTTTAATAATGCGATATCAAAATCACTGGAACGTATCCAAATTGCGGCAGCTGAGCAAGAGTGGATTGGATCTGTTGTCGTTGGATTTAGGGTAGTCACGTGCAAGGAGTCAGGTGACTCAGCCCATGTGGCACGTGTTAAAACAATCGAAGCATGTGTTACATAATATCGCTGGAATGTGCAGTATTCTAATAAAGGTTTGTATGATATTCTAGAAAATTTGTTTTAATGTCAACTAATTATCTTGTGTAATTCGCACTAAAAATAACTTTTCAGAAAGTAATTCATATTTTGGGATATTTCGCACGTTTTGTAACACGCGAAACATCTAAAAAATATGAATTATTGTTTTCCTCGAGCAAGAAAAAGGTGACACATAAGCATAAGAGTACAATAACAAAACGTTTCCGCGGTTAATATCTGAGTTATGCTAGATATTTCGGTAAAGAGAGAGAGAGAGAGAAAGAAAAAAAAGAATAGGGACTGCAAGCTAGTGATAACGTTCCCTTGCTGTTAGAAAAGTCTGCAGGGAGAATGAAAAGAATAATTCGAGTCGATACGGGGATTTACATGGTTTTGTTAAGCTCTTTCTTTTTCTTCAGACAGTTTTCATTTGTAAAAATCAATTTATAAAACAAGAAAAAAAATTATTATAAATATAACAGGAAAAGAAAACAATTACAAGAATTTTTTTACGTATAACTCACAAAACTTTTTAGATAACCGCATCTGTTTTCGCTCTCCAATTTGCTGCTTCTTTGATATTTTAAAACTTATGATTTCTTTCTAGCTCACCCTCATTATTTTAATCAACTATCATGCGGATTAGATATTATTTCTATGGCTGGAGAATGGCTTACAGCAACAGCAAATACAAACATGTAAGTAACTAAAATATGTTATATATTAAGTATAAGCAATCTATATTTTCCTGCACTTTGTTGGCTTTGAAAAACCAATCTGTAGTACTAAAGTATGATTTTATATTGTCAAATAGAAAAGAATTATTCATTAGCATATAATATATTTAAATTTTATGGAGTTAGTTTTAATTTATTTAAGAAATTTATCCTATTTATAATTATATTACGGATCTTATAAATTTATATTTTTATCAGAAAATATATAGGCCTATAAATCTTTATGTTAAAAAAAATATTTATCTAAATCTAAAATTATTTTTCTTTCAAATTCTTTCTAATAATATATAGATTATAATTCGAAAAACTAAATAAAATTGATACAATTTATTAAAGGATATGCTTTGTAAGTGCCCTAATTGATAGCAATCCAGAGAGACAAATATCCTATTTGATCTCTCCTATCGAAACTTTGATTTAAAATTGTTTATAAGTCATAAATATTTATAATTAATTAATTAATATATACAGTCGACCCCCATAACACTGGTGATTTTTCCGTTTTATATGAATTTCATGTTGTACGAGTCACTTAGATTTTACAAATAAGTGTGCTGGGCTGTGAACGGCTCACGTATTTGTAAAATCTAAGTAGCTCGTACAACATGGAATTCATATAAAACGGAAAAATCACCAGTGTTATAGGGGGGTCGACCTACAATTGCTATTAAAAATAACTATTATAAACGTATAATAGAGAGAGCCAGCAGTTGGTTTTACTTGAAAAATGCAATAAAATATCGTCCCGATGTCATTAAATTTTAGGTTCACGTACGAAATTGCTCCTGTATTCATTCTGATGGAACAAGTGACTTTAAAAAAAATGAGAGACCTTATAGGCTGGAAAGAAGGTGATAGCATTCTTGCACCAGGTTAGTAAGACATTTAACTAATAAGGAAGAACATTATAAGGAACGTATATATTATTTTAAAATATTTTTAATACCATAATATATATTAATATATGCTTCCTATTAATATTAAGGCGGTGCTATATCTAATCTTTATGCGGTACTCTGTGCTCGACATAAATTATTCCCTAATTATAAAGAAAAAGGATTAAAAAATCTTCCGCAATTAGTCATGTATACTTCCGAGCACGTAAGTTATAATTATTAATTATTTTGATGTAAACGTAAACTTTTAATTGAACGTCGCTCGTTGTGTTTTCACATTCCCCCCTCCCCTCATTGTTACTATTAAAAACTTTAGTCATAAGTCTGATATATATATATATATTTTTTTAATTTAAAAAGAAATTCGAATTAATTAATTTTCTTTTTTATTTTTTCTACACATTAAACTGGACAAAGCACGTTTGACCAATACAATGATGGATAGATCGTGTCATATTAGCTTCGTTTAACGCTTCTTCGCTTGGTGGACAAACGTTTCCGTTAATTGGTAAAAACACCAACGAACGATGCCCAACTGCCCATTAAAATAATATAATAAGCATTTAATTAAGATTTTCTATAGAATTTTTTTAAAATATGCCCAGTGCTTTAGATTTAACGAAAAATTTGAATTTCTACTTTGAATTGTCTCTTGTTCTCGTTTTAATTGTTAGGAATAAGAATAAGATTGCTTTAGACAACGTATCAACGATGATAGATATACAGGTTTTTATTAATTTTAGAAGAATTTTACATTTACTGAGACAAATCGATATGATATAAAGCATCTTGACATTTATAGTAACTTTTCTAACTTCTAAATCTTTCTAACAATATATTTTCGCTTGACTGATATTACTCAACTTCACATTTTTGCAGTAAAGTTTGAAATTTAAGTAGATCCAAACTGAATTTGAGTCAGTAAAAGCATTTCGATTTTTCAGAGTCATTATTCCATGAAAGGTTCAGGAATGGTCATGGGCTTGGGAACGGATAATGTTATAGAAGTACCTTGCGACGATAGGTAAATTCGACGAATTAACTTTCAAATATTAAATTAATTTAACATTTAAAGTAATTTTGTATATTTAAATTCATTAGAGGTAGAATGATACCATCGGAACTGGAGAGACTGGTTCGAGAATCGAAAGCCAAGGGTCATTATCCATTCTTCGTCAATTGTACCAGTGGAACAACAGTTTTAGGGGCCTTTGATCCCATCCATCCTTTAGCTGATATATGTGAAAAATATGGAATGTGGCTTCATGTTGATGTAATTATAATCTCTACTTATTTTTTTTTTTAAACTTCTTTCAAATTCTTAACTTTTCATATGCTTTATTTTATGGTAGTTTCGCTCCCTTGAAGCGTGAAATCATTTTATCTACAGAATGATCGGTTTAATAACTAATAAACCAACCAAAGTTTTTTTTTTAATATATTTTTTAAGGCTGCTTGGGGAGGTGGCTGTTTGCTTTCCAAAAAATATAGACGTAGACTGGATGGAATAGAAAGGTAATATAAATTTTAACAGTCTAACTTAGTTTTTCTTTTTTAAGATTTAAAAAACTATAAATTGATTTATTTCAGAGCTCGGTCTGTAACTTGGAATCCGCATAAATTGATGGGATCGCTTTTGCAATGTTCTACTGTTCATTTTAAAGACGACGTAAGTATAATAAAAAAAAAATCATTAAAAATTTATTTATTCTAGGCCTATTTAATAATATGTACAGTATATTTTGACTGAGGAGCAAATTAGAGCATAAAGATATTTTTTATAAAGAAAACTTTATAATATTTTAATATTTATAGGGTCTACTTATAAGCTGTAATCAGATGTGTGCAGATTATCTCTTCCAACAAGATAAACATTACGATGTGACATATGATACAGGAGACAAAGTCATTCAATGCGGAAGACATAACGATATATTTAAATTGTGGTTAATGTGGCGATCGAAGGTAGATTAAAATTTATTTTTAAAAAAAATGAATAAGAGTAATCTCCGGATTTAACAGTAAAAAAATTTATTTATAACAGGGAGAAAAAGGATACGAACGACACATTGACTATTTGTTTGCCATGACTGAGTAAGTTGAGTTCATAAAATACAAGTCGACCCCCCTATAACACTGTTGATTATTCTGTTTTATATGAATTCCATGTTGTACGAGTCATTTAGATTTTACAAATACGTGTGCCAGGCTGTGAACGGCTCACATATTTGTAAAATCTAAGTGACTCGTACAACATGGAATTCATATAAAACGGAAAAATTAACAGTGTTATAGGGGGGTCGACTTGTACACATCTAAACAAATGAAACACAATTTCAATAACGTTTATTTTCCATAGTTACATGGTGAAAAAACTTAAAGAAAAAAAAGACAAATTCTACCTCATTTGGGAAGAAGTTAGTTAAATTTTTATTCATATTTTTGTGTGTTTTTAATTAATAATCTTCTGAAAAAATAAAACTTTACTTTGTTTTACAGCCTGAATGCACTAATGTTTGCTTCTGGTACATCCCTCCCAGTTTAAGAAAGGTGCCGCATAGCAAAGAACGTGAACAGAAGTTGGGAAAAGTAAGCCCTACAGTCAATTTCTGTAACTTTGATTAGATATAACAGCTAAACAGGATTTTGTATTATATTCATAGATAACTGCTGTTCTGAAAGGAAAGATGATGGATGCAGGCACTCTTATGGTAGGTTACCAGCCACTCGGAGATAAACCGAATTTCTTTCGGAATATTATCTCCAATCCAGGAGTCACAGAAGATGACATCGACTTCCTATTGAACGAAATGGATCGTCTTGGTCAAGATCTGTAACAGCCTGTAGCCAATAGAAACTATCGTTTCAAAGAAAATAATAATGATAATAATAATTATATAAAGCAGTGTCGTGTTTTAAAAATATCGTGACAATTTAGGGCAGCAATAAAAATTATATTATACGTGATGGGAATTTAAAAAAAAAAAACTAAATAAATATTTTTGTTTCTTCGGAGAAGACTGTTGAACGGTCCTCCTAAATCCAACGTCTTCCAAAACGTAGTTATGCCTCTTGTTTAAACAAGATCAAAGGCATTTTAGATGAGTGTCCAAATGTGTGCCTGTATAGATGTGAGATTGTTAGCCAAATTTTCTTTTACCTTCTCCATTAAATCCAACCCGTGATGTGTGTAGAGTATGTGTTATTTATTGGAAAGCAGGACACGAGAGAGAGGAAGTTGTCTTTAGGTAAATTTACTTCCACTCCTTATAAATGATAATGGTCCTGCAAGTCCAATAGTTTATAGTTAATTATGAGGCTTTCAAATTAAGAGGACGAGTGAAGACCGAGTTTTTTTTTCTCTACAAATAATAAAAAAAAATATATTATTAACAAATTTAAATATATTTTTATTGAATTGAATTTTTTGCACATTTTATGTTATANATATATTATTGAGTGTTACGAATTGTTGAACAGAGAACATTAATATGTCTGTTGAATTTTGATTCTAATGTATAATCAAGAGACTTAGTATTTTATTGTGGAAAAGGTGATATATATGACAATATAGAAATATTAGACATATAGATAGCAGCAATAGGGTGATGGAGAAATAATTATTATTAATTGTTTCAAATTCACGTTATTGATTGGCATTGTTTTTTGTTGGAATGTTAATTGTTAAGGTTACATAAGAGTTTTAAAAGGGGAAAAAGGATACATATCAATGATGGTCATGCGATTGTATAATGTGAAGATCTTCCAGATGATTTTTTTTTATCTCTGGAATTTTTTATAAATCTTTAAATCCTCTTTGTATGTTTTATTTACTTTAAATCTTTACTGTTTATTGTTGTATATTTTCTCTTTAAGACGTTTAATTAATATAATTTTGTTTTTTTCTTGTGTTCATTATGTTACTTGAGAGAACAAAAGATACGACCTGAAAGATTTTTAAGTCATGTTTCTACGAATAAATTGAATTATTATTTTCTTCTGAAACTATAAATGGAAAAACCTTATATATACGAAGGCAAAAATCAGCCTTTTCATACACTTAACGTGTCTTTCAATTTTTCTAGAATGTTTTAATAACTAGAGATATATGATTCACTGAAAGATGTTCTACATTTGTTTTTTTTTGTTTTTTTTCTAGCAATTAAGACTTTAGATATGAAAATAACGTCCGCACGACCTTTACATTAGAAAGGAAATGAGCATTATAAGCAAAACAGTATTAACTCAAGAATAACATTCCGGTGGAAGGAAAAAAATATATATATATTATTGGGTTTTATAAGTGTCACTGATATTTGTATTAATTTTATGCACAATGTTTATTTTTTATTACTGTTTTACTCTGATTGTAGGAGTATAATTTGTGAAATATCTTATAAAACATGAAGAACTGATAAATAAAAGCGTGTTCGGAGCAAATAAAATATTTTTGTTGTTGGCCAATTTGATGTATAATCGTAGTCTTAAAATAGATACATTAATATATATGTACCATTGAATTTTTCAAGAAGACTAAAGAAAAAAAAAATAAACACATGTTGATGTTATTTTCGATGTACACTGCCACAGAAATGTCGAATACAGATTTTAAAAAGTAAAGAAACTCTGCCTCAATTTGAAATATTTTTAAAAACAGAATAGTGATGTGATAGTGCAATGTATCACTTCGTATCCACACTAGTAGACTTGCACAATATCCAATTCAATTAATTCACCTAAACTACACAAGCACTAAAAATAATAATAATAATAATAATAAAATAATACTTGCACTTTGATGTTGTTTCTTGCACTCCTCATCTCTGGATGGTGAAGAGGACCAAAAAATTATGTAGGAAAAATTGTGTAGTGTTTTAAATGGTGCTGCTTGTCGTGGTGCTTTTTTTTTTTTCGTGCTTCAGAATGAGCTGGACCAACGTAACGTCATTCACTTTTAGCTTCTTTTAGAATGGAATTAATTAATGGACAGAAATTTTCATCTGTTATGAAAATGTTCCAAAAAAAAAAATTTAATAATAATTAAATTTTTTTTTTCCTCCTTCTAATAGAAACTTTGGACTGTATATAATACCTGACTGTTTTTATGATACTTGTGGTAGTGGAATGTATTTGAGGCAGAAATTTCTTTACTTTTAGTAAATTTATCTGTTATTATCTGCACAGCTCCAAATGTATTTGATGTAGTGAAAATTGAAAATACAGTTTCTCCTGATCTCATTTGTATCTTTTATTTCTTTTTAGTTTAAATAACACTATAACATATTACATTAATAATTAACATATTTAAAACATATTAATTAGCATGATATAAAATTAAACTGATTTAAAATTTGCAAAATTCGTTTTAATTATTTTAAATAATAGATTTTAAAAATATTCTATAATAAAATAAAATATACCAGGGTGTCGATATTTAATGACTTTTAGACGAACTTACAATTATCATTATTATTATTATTATTATTATTATTGAATTTAAATCGATATTTATTTAAAATAATTATCGTTATTAGAATAATTCATTCTACAAGAATTGTTCTCAAATTACATAGTTATAATATATAATTAATCTAACAACTTAAATTTATATCATTTACCATTGATATATCGTTTTTACGTGCCACGTAAAACTGGTAATTTTGCCAAACTTAGTATAATAAAAATAATATTAAATTACGTACTACTAAATAAGAATTTTATATTAAAATAATTTATTATAATATCTCGTAATTCTATATATTTTTTCACTTAAACTTTACTCATTACCTGTGCTTATTATCCTTTTCAATATCACTCAACTTTCTCCAACTGATTCCTTAACGTTGAAATTAATAATTAACGTTTTAATTGTGACAGTAGATGAGAAATGTCGCCGGTTACCTCTCACAATTAAGCTAATGTTACTATATATATATATATTAATGTTATTTACAATCATAAAACTTTTCAGTTTAGAGATTTAGCATTTATCGCTTAGAGGTTATTGTTTAAAAATATGAAAAAAAAATTCTAAAAATTGTTTTTTTTTTTTTTAAATACACTTTACATTTAATTATTAATAAATTTATAACACTTTAAAGAATGGGTGTAGACTATATTTATTTTAATGGGGAAAAAGCAACTAACGTGAAGTGTCTTTCAAATCACAGCTTTCTATATTAGTCTCTGCAATCGTTTGCATCGATATCGATTGATGAAAGATTTAAATATCATCGTTTAACATTCTAACTTCCCAATACAGGGGTTAAGTTCAAAATAAAATCACAAAGTGTAATTAAAAATTAGACATGTTTAACATCTTCTCGCTAAAGTTTGGACTCAACCCCCCCCCCATGTGTCATTAATATCAGATATCTTTCTGAATGTACTAAAGAATTTTTCAAAAGGATCATTATCAAATGCTCTAGTAACAATAGTAAGCGTATTTTAATAAATATTTTTGTACTGTATATTTAACTATCGAAGCCAATATCGAAAAGCAGCTACATATGTTTCTATAGTTAAAACTATTTTTTTTTTTTTTTGTTCTTTGTTCAATTTCAGATAGTTTAGAGACTTTCGTTCCAGTTATTTAAATATATATCCAGATGATTATTTTTTTTATCTCTGGAATTTTATAAATATTTAAATCCTCTTTGTATGTTTTATTTACTTTAAATCTTTACTGTTTATTGTTGTATATTTTCTCTTTAAGACGTTTAATTAATATAATTTTGTTTTTTTCTTGTGTTCATTATGTTACTTGAGAGAACAAAAGATACGACCTGAAAGNAAATATGTGTGGCGCCATCTGTTGTAAGAATTTATTTTTAAAATAATTTTTTATAAATTTAATATTAATTAAACGAATGTTATCTCGAGAAATTTAAATTCGATTCTTTTTAAATGGTTCTAAAGAACGATTTTCATTCTTTAGGTAAAGTCAATTTTAGAATTGTGTAACAAATTAAAGACTTTTTGCAAATTTTATAGGTAACTTCATTATATTTAATTATATGTACCGGTACCTTAATTAAAATATTATCTAGAATAAGTGAAAATCGAACTTTAATTACTTAGCGTTATAATATATAAAATTTAGAGAATGATATACAGTATATATATTTTTTAATTATATAATTTGTTTTGCTTCTCATTAACATCTCTCTGTGAATGGGCCTATTGCTAAATACAAGAAAGAATGATTAAAAAATTCCTTGGGTTAATCGTTCTAATTAGAATCTGGACGTCCCAGAGCAGTAAATTAAATCTTAAACTAGAGCAAAAAAATCATGGACGGATACATTTTTTAGATACTGTATAGACATTCAATTGAAAGGAGATGGTATAACAATAGGTACTGTATCTACATAAAACCAACCCATAGTCCACTATACACACTGGTAATATAATAAGAATCAAAACAAATCAGTTTAAAATCTTTAAGTTCACTTATCAAGAACATCGTGAAACAGGTGTTGGACAAAAAACACTCAAAAGAGTACCTAATTTATACATTATTTTAAGAAATGATAAAGACACGATTAAAAAAGAAGAAAAAGCGGGCGTATATAAAATTCCATTTGTAAATCAGAATTAAGGAATTAAGAAAGGACTATATTGGGGTTACAAGAAGGAATTTAGCCATCAGACTAGCACAAGTAGAGGACTCTGTGGTTAAATGGAATGAAGAGACTATCTTCGGGGCTAAGCGTTCCCCATCAATCGAGTGTTGGGAGGCATCAATACATTTAGTGGGGTAGTGCCGATAGATGAAGCGGAGAGGCAACTGTCTCAGGCGCCATGTTAGAAGGGATACTAAAAAGATGCTGTTTTATAGAAATATAAGTTTACCAATGCCGTTAAGTTTGCTTCGGGAACCAAAATTACTCAGAACGGTCCTGACATTTAGGGTATATGAACGATGGCAATTACGTTCATTACGGGTGGGTCTGATCAGATATGGAATCGAGTAACATGGTTATTTAAGAAGTGATATTATCCGTGATAAATTATGAGCTCTTCGGTCTGTTTCGAGATCGGATCTTCCGGTGATAGGTTATTATAAACAGTTGAAATACTGAAAATGAAGTTAATATTTTATTAATATTCTTTAAAATTCAAGTAAATATTGTGAGTGTTTTTCCAGATATGGAAGATTGCGATATTAATAATCAAAATCACGAAAAATCATCTCAGGCTATTGAACATAGTAACAGTGAAAAGAAAAGTTATATAAGAACTTTAAGGTAAGAAAATTTTTTAAAAATTTCTATCCCTATATTTAATTTTTCTCCAATCATTATCTTTTAGACCATACACATTTCCGAAATCAGATCAATCAAACAAAAAAAATCCAAGGTAAGATTTAATAAAAATGAATTTAAATATTGATAAATGTAAAATAGTTTTTCATTTGTTGACAAAATTTATATACAGTAGACCCCCCCTATAACACGATAGATACGTTCCGTTTTATATGAATTCCGTGTTTTACGAGTCACTTAATTAAATACATGAGCCAATCACAGCCCGGCACGTGTGCAGTTTAGGGGCTACGGCTGTTTGAAAGGTTGTCTTCCATAAAATTAACCGATTCTAGACTAATTTGACTTGACATTTCCAAAACACGTATAAATTTGTTGGGAATAATCCGTATAAACTATGCTATAAACAAAAAATTGTAGGATTACTTACCGAGTGTGCACCGTTGCCACGACGCCATTGCTTAAACTTGTTTTCGTCGCGGAGCGGCGCATCGAACGGCGGGCGCGTGTTTTCTGATAAGTTATTTTTCTGCGAAAAATTCACTGAACTTTGGAGACATCATTAATATAAATATAATTTTTATGGCGGTTAAATAATAAATGGTTTTTAGTAAGTCCGCTGTTCGTTTAAACTCAACGGTTTGTGCAATATCCGCTATTGGTCTAGATTCGACCAATTCTGTCGCGACACGAGTCGGCGATGACGTTTTACCGTATTATACAAGTCTCTTTTAGCGTGTTTATACGAACACGATCACAATTTTTTTTGCCGTGTTATATGAATCCGTATTATATGAACCTGTGTTATGGGGGGTCTACTATACAAGTTTTATTTAAGGACAAATATAAACATCTACCGAAACCCAATGCTTAGCAAATAGACACCCATGATTGCCATAAAAAATCAGGCTATAATTTGGAAATATTNCACAAATTTTCTTGTTTTTGATAACGGATAGAAACAATAAAACGAGTATTATTGATTCAATAATGCAGTCACTCGGAGTTTTCGAACTGTCATGGCCTCCACTTTTCCAACACAGTTATAAAGTAGCTCTTTGTTATTCTAATATCTCGTTGGACGGAAGACTACCATCGCTTGTTTGGTCATTCGGTTCGAATGTACTGTAGATCTTACAATACAAATAAGCGTTTAGATTATTATACATTTTCACAATAATTTTGATTAAATTCCGATAGAGTAGTTATCAGGAAATAAACGTTTACTCATTGTTTTTTATTTTCAGAGTAATTTTTGAAACAGATTCTGTTATTTTGGAAAGAAGAGAAAAACAAATACAGTATGGAAAAATTACACCTGAATATCAGAAATATATTTCTGAAATACCTAAGTAAATATACAATTATTATAGATTAAAATTAATATTCTTGTTTAAACAAATTTAGGGTGATGTTGTCAAAATTTTCTTCGAAAAAATATTTTCTAAAACATTGTTTATAATTTTTGTGTCACCATTGTTTAATGGTTTCATCTACTGAAAACCTGGTTCGTGTCTGACAAAAGAGCTGACCGCATGGAGTTCTATGATGTTAGTAGTTAATCGATGAAAACTCTATGAAAAAACTATAATGTTTTAAAATTACAGAACAACTCCACATGTTCTAAAACATATAGTCTTATTCTTCTTTTACGTTCCTTCTTGACAGCATTCACTCCTATACTTTACATTCCACTATTTTCCCATTGTTTAAATTTTCCACTATTCCAAGCCTTCTTCTTGATCTCTAAAAAACCCGAACATGAAATAAAGGGCATGTGTCTCTATCCCATCAAATACTCATCTGTTTATAAATGCTTAAAAATGAAATTAACGACAGTGCATCTACAATACACAATATAATTTTATCGATTTATATGCTATTGTCAGCTACTCTTCAAATTATATCGTTTAAACAAAATTAACTCAGATACAATGCTTTGACAAATATACACAGTTCATTCTTCCACGCACAATATGGCGACCACTAAGCTGCGCCCACATGTATTAGCTTAGGTGGTGAATAGCTTTTGTTCTTCACTGTAAACAAATATGAAACCCGAATAACATTTTCATAAAAACGGAAATATATAAACGATCTCATTGCTGTAATCTGGATAATTGGATAGATCGGATGAGCAAAGTGTTGTATTTTGTTTTCAATTTATTTTATTTCTTAAAGTTGAAAGGGCCCACCAGTGGCCAAGCGATTCCGTTCTCTGAACACTGGTAGTTCGGTGGAGTTTTCCGTGTTTCTTCACGTCTTTAACACCTAAATAGAGAGCAGTTACCCTTAAAAGACTTCCTGGAAGGCATCCCTCCTAGGCAGATCGCCCAAGTGTTGCGTTTCCGTAACTAATAAAACGATCTTAAAGCTGAAGATTTTTCGTGAAACTTTCTGAATACTATATTTTTTTTTAAGAATTGCGCCCACTAGTAACCGAGTGGATAAAAACCACCAAAGAACTGATAGTTGGTTGCGGGTTTGAATCTCGACAAAGGACTGGTTTCGTTTGGAGATTTCCGTGTTTTCTTCTCGTGTCTAACACCTAAATAAGGGCTATTTTCTCATAGAAACTCCTTCGGGAGGCACTCAGCTTAGCAGATTTATGAGCTACGTTTCCTTATTCCATAATCCTAGTAGCGTGCGGTGACATTTGATGATAGGTAAGCTGTGCTGGCCTTGTATAGAATCATTGGAAGCGTTATACGATATTTTGGTGTGCAGCATCCACGAGCTAAACCGCGTGAGGTTGGTGCTCTGTAAAGAGCATACGCGAATGCGTATAATCAGGCTACTTTACATCATTCAAATATTTTCGACGTGGAAGCTGTCCCGTATTCTACAATACAGCGCTTCCATCGGGAATATGCATATACGGATTTATATTCTAATATACCAGTGATTCTCAACCACTGTGCCGCAAGATTTTTGAAGTGTGCCGCCACTGCCCATACCCATACATAAGCAACACCAGACAAGTAGTTCAATCGGTTCTACCTTCCTAGGGTGCGTTTCGAAATTGTAACCGGTGTTACCGGTAACTGCCAATAGTTACCAAGGCGTGACCTAAATAACCAACAGCGTTTAAAAATTACTGTTATGATGTTACCGGTTGTCCTGCGATACTTACCGAAGTGCCGCCAAATTTTTAAATTATTAAAAGTGTACCTTGACGAAAAAAAAATTGAGAATCACTGTAATATACAATAGCCACCTTACCATTTTTTTCGCATATAGTATAGAAATTTGTAATAAAATACATAATACGGTTATAATAAAATATTAATTTTAAATAATTCAAAGTAACCCACTTTAAAATATGAAAATAATCGCACAATATGTATTTATATTTTAGAAAATACAGGGAAGAGACGCTTCAACAGCTTCCATGGATGGCACGCCATTGCATAATCCAATCTAAAATGTTTGCTTTTATCGTAAAAAGATTATGTATAAAATTTCATCAACGAGCTGGCCACGTGGACTTTTCCAGGTTTTATTCGCATGTCTAACACCCGAATAGAGGCAAGGGCCAGTTTTCCAGGAAACAATCTTTCCTTGGCAGATTGCCTATAAGTTGCATTGTCTAATCCAGTCAATTCAATCGAATCTGGATGAGTCGAAAATCCCCAGGATATTTTCAGGTAGTCCGTCCAGATATTTTGGGCCCTGTCATCACCCAGTTGTCCCATTGTGGATCTGGCCAAAGTCACGCGGGGCGCAAAATTGAGTCTAGAATTTAAATTCAATATAAAAAAGACAAGAAATCATAATAAATGTGATGAACGGATGAACAAGGGGGTTAAGACATCAGCCTACCGCTCTGAAGACCTGGTACCTAGCAAACCTAGGAATTTTTCGTGGGTAGTCTATCCCGGATATGTCGGACACCGTCTTCACCACCCGCCCCCCCATAGTGGGCCTGGTCACTACGATGAATCGGAAAAGCTCCCTGTTAATCCCCACAGGGAGGAAAGAGTCAAATATGAAAAAAACTTAAATGAATACTTGGGGAGCAAATAAATATACGCTAAACAACGAATATTATGAACAGATCTCATAATTTGATAACAAAAAATTTTCAGTAGATGTGAAATTCTACTTCAAAATTCTCATATCTACTGTTTTGTAATTAGTAGAGGTATTTACGATACCAATGGAATAAAATATATTTGAATATATAACTTTAATACACGATTTCAGGATATTTCATCAAGAATTCGAAGCATACAAAGCATTATTTTTTAACGGTATAAAGCTAGATTATTAAGAATTTTTGTTATATTTTATCACTGTTTTGCATGTATTTTTAAATATTTATTGAGAAATGATGTTTTAAAATATAGTTTAAAATATTCAAGAGGTGTAACTGTTTAAATGTTAATTATTACTCGTTCTTTATTTTAAGGCGCAAACGTAGTAAACATCATCCTCGAACTCCAAATAAACATCGGAAGTACAGTAGACGTTCATGGGACAAACAAATAAGAATATGGAGGTCACAATTACATCAATGGGATCCTACTACAAAAAGTAACGATTTACTTGATCTGTAAGTTTGCTTAAATCATAAAGAAAGTAGTTATCGTATATATTGATACAATAACGTCTTGTTTTACTACTACGTAAAACAAGACTCTAATGTACTGTATATAATTATGAGAAAATTGTGAAAATGGCCATAACTCTTATACGATTCATTTGGAATTTCAATTCATGACTTATAGACAGGCCACTATATGGTATTTAAAAAGAACACACGTTTTCCTTTTAGATACCATATGAAGGATATATTTTTCATTTTGAATTGAAAAAAACAATTTCTGTCTATTTTATAAAACATTCAAGAATTGCCATCAAAATTAAATAACTGTGAAAAATACAAGAATAACTTGGGCTAAACTACTTTGTGTTATAGAATATCCACTTCTTTAAATTAGTGTTTTCTACGTCAAACTTATTCAAATACTGTATAACTTAATATTCTCCTTTTCAAACAGTATGACGTTAAAGACGTGGAGAAAACCAAAAAAACTCCACGTGACCAGATAGGCTAGGCGCGAACCCATGCTTAAACTATCAGTGTTCAAGGAACGGAACAGTTTGGCTACNTATCGAAATTAAAGCGTTAGAAAATGATTCAAAAACTTTATTACGAGTAAAATTAAATTTTTTTAAAATAAAATTACAACTCGACTCTCGACCAATGAACAAGTTAAAAATTAATAATCACGTGATAGCAGATTATATAAATTTAGTAAACGTGGCGCTGCAGTCGTTAGTTTAAGGTGCGCCAGCGGAAAGCCAATCAACGGTATCTTCATAGTTTGTTGTTGAAAGAGTTCGACTAAGTGAATCGACAATGGTGAGTGAGTTTTATGTCGTGAAACTTTTCACTATGCTCTGACAACCTTTCAGTCCGTTTAAACGGCTTCTTACTTTCTTAAAGTCTCCATTTTCTAATAATTTTCTCTGTAGTTAACAAATATCGTACGCGTTAAAGTTGTAAAGGTAAAATATTGTTTTAAAGGGAAGCAGAGGATGATAGAGAATGCCTTCATCAGTGTTTACGTATATATGCTGTTACTTTTAATGAAGTAAATGGCAATTAACTTGAATGTTAAGCGTAATAAAATTTTAATTAAACAGTTCACTTCGTTGTGTTATGATTTTGCAGAACGATGCAATGTAAAATGAATTCGTAATGGATGGAAAAGCCATAGCCTTTGCCTGCTGTCGGGAGAACTTCCGTTCAAGGAACGGAACAGTTTGGCTACTATTGGGCTTACGCTATACAAACTAGTTTATTAAGTGGAATTAAAATTCTAATAGGAGAAATAAAAATCGTTCAGAAGATTGTTCAGAAACCTCTAACAGTACTGTGCTGTATCTAGGCTGGTGCAACAGGTGCACCCGCACAGGGCCCACTTGGAAGGGGGACCCAAAATGCATGTATTTGTTTAATTATTTTCCCAAACCTAATTAATTAAGGGGCCTAAATGCAAATTCTTGCACAGGGCACAGGAATGGCTAGTTACGGCACTGAGTACTGTATTATGGTTTTCAAAAATAACTAATTCTCGATCTAATACTATACATTCGGTAAGATGTCTCGTTGAATAAAAATTGGGAAAAACGGGTATAAAACCGGAAATTTTAAGTTTTTTGTGAAATTCCCAGAGCTTTCCTTAATTTTTGAATTATTATTACAATTGTAAGCATGCTATTTTTCTAGTAATTTTTTAGATATATGATACTCTATTGTGATTTTGAATATTTATTTTATATACGAGTATATATGTATTGTCTTACTTTGAGAAGATCTAAATTCAATTTAAGATAGGAATTTTCTACATGTTTTTAGAGAGTTTTCTCTATCCTTTTCCTTCTTGGATGGTTTATCTTAATACAGACCAGAAAAGAAAAATACGACTATTATCGAATTAAATTTTAAGACGTTAAAATATCACATTTGGAATCTGAAATAAGAATTAATTAAATATTGAGGCCACTCATAAAATTCTGGAGATTTTTCTTAATTATATACTACTGTAATCAAAAAGTATTGGGAATGGTTCATTTAAACTGCGTGAGTGCAAATGGGCGCTGTCGTCATTTTTTTTTTCGTTTTTTGGTACGGCATTCATCGAAATCTAACGACAATTCATACGTTATAGTGTGTTTTCGNCTGGTTTAAGTTATTGTATTCAGTGTGTTTATCAATGCAATGCAACATCTAATTTTATCCAGTGCTCTTTTTTTTAAAAAATATTACTTCTGATATGCATATATGGTGACTGAACATGTAAATTGTTTTTACTGAGCAATACTAGTACTATGTACTAATTATCAATACTTTTTATGCTATCTGCCAGTATGACATACTGGCATGTTCTGACTGAAAATTAACTTTGGTTTTACCCCTGTATAGCATTGTTTGATATAGTTCTAGATTAGGATAGGTTTTAGACAAGTCCAAAGATGCAATGGCATCAAACTGGTGTCATTTTACTGTATGCAACTGTTAGAACACACTATATAAAAGAACTTAAATCATATTTAAGATATTGCTCTATTGCCATAAGGGAATTTAAACTCTCATCTGGTCAATCCTATAATTTATCATGGATAGTACAGGTTGGGATTTTATTTTACTGTTTCTCAGCTATAATTCTTTAACAAGTCAGACCTGTCTATAATGGATGTAACTATAGCTAGCAATAATCTTAATGTGCTGCTGTCTGCATGAAGGTAGCAAGATATGGAGACACCATGTTATGCTAGAGTTGATGCCTCTCATGAGAATGGTAGACCTATGCATTTGGACTGAGATAGTGTTATCAATATAAACTTTTATATCTATATTTAAAACTTCAATTTTTTATTGTTTGAAGTAAGCACAAGATTGCTTAATAGAACTAATCATAAAGGAACATACTAGGATAGATATACAGGTTTTATTAGAGAAGGAAATGCATTTTGGACTATATATATCCCTGATCAGTCCTCTTTATTTAACATCAATATGTTTAAAAACATTATAAATTTTTAAGTTACAGTTATGAATATACATAAAATTATAATGAACACAATATAACAAGAATGGTAGAGATTATGTGTGTTGTAGTTATAATAGTGACAACTGGATTCTAATAACAATAAGGTAATTAAGTAAATTGTAAATTAAATGAACAGTAAAAAGTCTTAAATAAATTATTCATAAAGGAATACCTATAAATTATAAAAGGAGAGTATAATAAACTTTTATTAAGACAATAAAACATAAAAAGTTTGCAAAAGGAAACATGTATATTCTAAAAGGAATAAACTTTATTGAGATTGTAAGTTAAGTAAACAATAAAAAAATTTTAAATAAAACTAGGGTATTAAAAGGATTACCTGTAAATTATAAAAAGGAGAGTATAATAAAATTTTATTAAAACTGTAAAAGGTACTGTATTGTATATTCTAAAAAGAAACAAAGCACATTAAAAAGTTGAGTTGCAACTATCACTGTATGTCTATCATCTAACTTGTAAGTATTGTGAGGGACATATAGTCCAAAATGCACTTTCTCCTGTAATAAAGCCTATATATCTATACCAGATATATCTATCCCTATGTTCCTGTGTGATTAATTTTATGCCTACTTTTAACAATATAAAAATGAGAACAAGAGGCTATCTAGTGCAATTCAATTTTTTATGCTAATTTGTTCAGCTATCAGATGTACGAACAGAACTTCAAAAACTTCTCAAAATAGCATTTCATAACAATGGCTTCATAAACAAATCTACTATTTTAATCTGTAACCAAGGCTTAATCATAACTTCTAAAAAGTTTAAAATCTTGATATCAGTACAGAATTTGGACTACTTTTTCTGCAATTATATTTAATTAATTTCTAAATAATTTTTTACTAGAGGGAAACATTAGGTGTTATCTATTATTAAATTTAATAATTATAATTAAATTAATATTTATTAAATAATTTAGAATATTCTGGAAGAAAAGAATCGGCCAAAAAAGGAAATTAGGTTTTGTGATGTTTGTATAAGTACAGAATTTGTTTATTAATGAATTAAATGATTATCCATCAGAGAAATATCATAGGATTGTTTCACAGTAATAATTTTTAAACATACATGGAAATTTTTCAAAGAATTACATCCGTTTATCATAAGTTTTGTCTTATGTAGTCTGTTTTAATCAGGAGACAAGATCAGTTCATTCAAAACACTTTAATCACACTTGTTATAGCATCAATGCATTTTGGGATTGAAAAAATCATCCCCTCTTGAGGCTAGATTATTAATCTTAGCAGAGGTGATTCTTTGAAAAATTTCCACACGTTTAATGAAAAAGTCTGCCATTGTGATTTAGTTGTCCAAATTGTTGTGTGTAATAATTTTTATTGAAGGTATTTTTCAATTCAGAATATTCTATTTTTTTTCATTAAAATAAATTATACAAAATGTTTCTTCACTTTCAAATAATGATACAACCCCAGGCAAAAATTATACAATCACTTCATGAGGATATTTTCAGTGTTTTAAGCATGTAGCAAAGAAATAAAACAAGCAATTAATACAAAATAATTTTCTAATAATAGTTAGATACTTTGCCTGCATTAAAAGTTATTTAAATAATCAACATAACATTTAACAAACTATGCATTTAATTTATATAACATCACACGGGAAAATCTATGTATTTAATTTACATACAGTTTTGCATGTGCATGTATATTATAAGTGCCAAATTGGTATATTCATATAAACTTTAGTTACTGAGCTGTAAATTTTTGAAAGCATTCAACTTTGTATTAATGAAATACAAGGACATAAAAAGTATGACAAGCAACATCAATTTGTATTTTAATCTAAAAAATTAAGTTTTGATATTTATTACATAATATTTTATTTATCCTTATGCATTATCTCAAAAATTAAAAAATAATTTACAATTATTTGTAGAATAATATGATTATTGATTGTGTCATAAATCCATCTGTAAAATTTTAAGAAAATTAGGGAAAAATTTTTATAACTAATTCCAGTATTAATGATATAATAAACTAATCTTGGAAATATTTAATTATTTATTTTAAAGTAATTTTAATATATTTGACTTTCAGCGTATGATTTTATTTTTAAATAAAAAAAAAATACAACACAAGAAATCCTCCTTAATTCAAACACTGATAGTTCAAAATCCCATTAGTTCATAACTGTACTTTTGTCCTGGCCAGAGATAGAGATTTTCACATTAAGGAATTTGGTTAGTTTGAAATACAGCTACTTTGTAATTCAAAGTGAAAATTCTGTTCAAAATATGATATACATATGTTAACCCATTCATTTAGATTGAAGTGGCTCCTTACTATAAAAAAACATAGACCAAGAACAACTGTAATCTGGTCAATATGGCTTTGTTTTTACAGTAACACATTTTGGGTGTCACTTACCCATGGACTATCTTTTTTTCTCTTATCTCATAAAATATGACTGGTTTTCGGGATTGCACGATTGGGCTACAAATAGCAGATTGAGGCTTATATCAATACTACATTTGGACCACTTTAAAGATAATTTGGGATACATTTCAAGGAATTCTGCTTTACTTTTTATAAAACCTATCTGGCAATCTGTGAGGTTCTCGCTGGACGTGTGCTGTTTATCTTCACGTTTATATTATTACTATTAATTATTAATTAACGAAAACTGCATTCTGTACATGTATCTGTATTCTGTTTGCTTAATAAATTTCATCAGTTACATGACATATGGTATATAGGAATCCTGGTATCCCGGCTGTTTTTTAATCCTGGAAATATCCCAGGATATTCATTTCATCCTGAAAAATACTGCAAATTTCTTAAAGTTAACTTTTTTCTTATTTTGTGTTAAGTTTGAGGAAATTTTGCAAATAGAAAGTATAATTAACTCATAAACTATCAGAATACATTTGTATTTATTGATTTTAAGCCTGCTTATAAGTTTTTTTAAATTTTTGCCTGTTATGGCATGTCATAGATTGTCAATAATCAATAGGTAGCATATTTGTGGTAAGACACTGAAAATTATTTACTTGTTGGAACCTGTAATCTAAATACAGTGGTACCTCAGGATACGAAATTAATCCGTTCCGAAACTGAGATCTTATCATGAAAATGTCGTAAGGTGAATCATTTTTCCCCATACAATTACATGTAAAAACAAATAATTCATTCCAACACGAAAAACACTCTCAAATTAAAGCTGAGTAGTAGATTGGAAAAAAAATAACTATAGTAAGGAAAACACTCAAAAATGTGTTTTGTAGTTGTAAATGTATAAATAACCATAATAGAATAACAATTGATTTAAAAAAATGTAGTTTTATTTGCACTTTACCTTTGAGGATAGATGACAGTGGAGGTATAAACTGGTGGCAGAAGAGAGGGAGAAGGGAAATGATACTAAAACTTAACTTACATAACATAATGTAACAATAACTTAAAAATAACTTAGAAAAGATAAAAAAAATTAGTGTTGTTTTATATATATATTTTTTAAATTTTTATTCACTGCACATCTTTACCACAACACTGGAGAATAGTAATATAACTCTTTCTAACCTGTTACTGGTGCGTCTACTAACTCTTAACGATCCAAAAACGAACCAAAACTTAACGTTTTCGAACCCCTATAACGGTTCTTCTTCAGGCTTTTTCGAATCTCTGATGGAACGTGCAGCTCGTAAAAACTTTAAATTCGAAATATGTACGTTCAAATGCACGTTTCCCATTTCCGTCGTTGTATGTCATGCGCAGTCAATTCCGAAACGGGCTATCATAAATTACCATTCATAAACGCTAGCCACGCTATTGATAACGTAATCTCTTCTTTATAATTGATGCATTGATTATCCTTAAGGTTAGCTAAGTATATGCTGGCTGCCTCTAGCCATCCGATATGGTGTACGTGCCGTGTGGTACGGATAATTCTGGCTTTCTTAAATCCGGGGTCTATATCCGGATCGGAGGCATATACTGCTAGGGCCGTCATGCTCCTTTGTTTCTGAATATCAGCAGTGTGTTCTTTGAGTCTAACCTCTAAGGATCGTTTGGTGAAGCCCACATACAGAAGGTTTCTATCACATCTGCGACCTATAATCGGTATGCTGTAGACCCCTAACAGCTTATCGTTATCCGGTTGATCTTTTCCATTGGTTAGGATGTTGAATATCGAAGCGCACCTTCTGTAGGCTATACGTATGTGGTTCTTTTTAGCTATTTCTCCATATAGCCGTCTAATATATGGATTATAATTGACTGGAATGATCTTATCCATATCTTGTCGTTCTTCTCTTTGCGGAAGGTCTTGAGTTGCGTTTTGATATTCATGCAATAACTTGCGTACGAGCTTGCCGTATCCGTGTTCAGCGGCTATTCGTTGTGTAAGTCTTAGCTCTGATTGTAGGGCTCGCTCGGTAGAAGAGTGTGTGTGTGCTCTCTTAATTAGGGCCTTAAATGGTGCCACTTTATATTGCGGTGGGTCACATGACCCTACTGGTATGTATATGCCTTTTGTTCCTAACTTACGGTACACCGCCATGTGGATTACCAACTCCTCTACCTTGATGTCAATATCTAGGAAGTGTACATTCGTCTGGTGTGCTTGCTCTNAAGATTTCCTTTATCGAGCGAGATCCTTCCACGACGAAGCAAACACGCGGACTGAGACCAATGAACAGAAGTGAATAAAAAATGGCGCTGCGAACTAATGTAACGTCATATGGTGAGTTTTTGTTCGTATCATGGTGCAAAAATATGTTCGAATTTCATGTCGTATTTTGAAAATTTCGTATGCTGGGGCATTCATATCCTGAGGTACCACTGTATATAAAATTACTTGTCCTGACTGATTGATTCATCTTCGCCCAGGGCAAATAGCTGAACCTAAAAAGGTGAAATTTGGTACACAGTTAGGGTATGTCATGGAAACACAAATTAAGAAGGGATTTTTCGAAATTCCCCAGCGGTGTGGAGAGGAATAGCATTAAGGCTTAACCGGAAGAACGGTTCTACTGTACTATTTTAGATGTGATTTTTTGTTTTTAACTGTGTTTAATCTTCATTGAGTACTTAGGTATATTAAATTGATAACATTTCAGACATTGTTATAAATATTTTTATATATTTCAATTTTTTAACCAAATGTTCAAACCATTTTAAATTCAAATTTGTTATTGCATACTGGTTTGATTATAGAACGATTGTAAACGTTTCAGAAAATTGATCAAATTGAAAATAGTTTATTTGATTCTCAGCAATTCTCATCATTCTCAGCGGTAGGTGTTATATAACAATTACTATGGTTGTTTTTGAAACTGTGTTTTGCAAATATATTGGACTTTGGACTCACATTTGAGTTATAAATAAACACTTGGCTTTATTTCCATCATTTTTAGTTGATATGTGACAACAGCATGTTTTGGGCATAAATCATCAGTCAACTAAAAAATACAATTTTTAAAACATTACATAAAATATCTTACAAAACAGAATTAAAATAATGTATATTTCTTACTATATCCATTTTTAATCTGTTATACATACATGGTCTTAATTTGTGCACACAACTTATTTTACAATAAGTGGAGTAATTTCATTAAAATTTGTTATAAATGATCTTTTATATATTTGACAGTATCCAGGAGTCTTAGACATAATCACATACACATCTCAAAATAGAAATAGACAATTTTTTACATTATTTGTTATTATTTAGTTGATACGTGACAACATTACATGTTGTCATGTATCAACTAAAAATGATGGAAATAAAGCCAAGTGTTTATTTATAACTCAAATGTGAGTTCAAAGTCCAATTACTATGGTTGTTGAAATACTGAATATAAATGGGGTTTTCTTGCAAAACCTCAATGAGCGAAGTCGCGGGTAACAGCTAGTATCTTGAATGATTGTGCCAATGCTGTCTTAATTTTTAACTATGCCCAGTAGCTTGAATAATTGCATTTTGCCAAATTGTGTAAATTGTACAAGGATGCAAATGAGTATAAAGTTTTTCTTCACAGACCTGATTTTTAAAGCCAAACGAACTGCCAAATTATCGGGCTATAAGCTCAATGACGCTATTAAAGCAGCTGAGGTAGACAAATCAGGAATACTAGACAGCAAAAGAAGTATTGCAATGCATCTTGAAAACAAACTAGAAATCTTTGAGGCTACAGGTGAAAATATACATAACATCCATCTTCTCTTAAATGCATTAAAGATGATGCCACCCACATCAATTGAATCAAAAAGGGCATTTTTGGTAGCAGAACTTTTCATTACTAAAATAAGAACTAGATTGAATGATTGGATTATTGACCATCTTTTCTTTTTAAAATCTTATTATAAAAATTTACAATAATATTTTGTATTATATTTTATTTAAAAAAATGAAAATTACCTTCTAAGTTAGAAGCTTGATCTAAGTTCATTTTTTTCATTAAATTTTTAACTCAATTCAAAGGCTGCTTTTTTTTTGTAAGCAGTTTCCAACAAACTTTAATAAATTTTTTCTGTTTGTGAAAATTTCTACATAATGCAAAGGTAATTTTTAATACATATTTTACGCAACATTATTATTATTATTATTTTGGAGGTTGCAGAACATATTAAATTACTTAGGATAATGAAAAATAATTATATTATTCCATTTCAAGATTTATTTTATATCTTAAAAATAATTAATTATATTCTGGGACAAGCAAAGAACTGGGAAATGAGAATCTCTAGTACAGATTTAGGATATGTAAATTTCAGATAATTCAAATCTTGATAATTCAAAGATTTTGTTCTTTGAATTTCAAACTAACAAGGATTTCCTGTGTATGTAAATATGTATTTAGATAAAAAATTTTATTGTGTTTGAGTTAAAATTTTCAATCTTATAATTTATTTTTAGAAAATGAACAGTAATAAGAAGTCTTCTAGTGCTAAGAAAGGAAAAATTCCTCAAGAAAAATTATTCTGTAATTATGTGCATAGGGTATGCATGCAGACACGTTTAGATGGTTATGATTATTGCCTAAGGCATATATTAGAAGATAAAACAGCACCATTCAAACAGTGCAGTTTTGTTCATCCTCAGAATGGCAAACGTTGCACTAAAGCTGCTCCTAAAAATGATAAGAAAGATGGGTGAGTTCATAAATTTGAATATCTTAAAATTCAAATTTGTTACAATATGACATTAAGATTTCATTGTTAATTTTCAAGCGTGTGTCCTTGGCATGCTAGAAAAGCACTTTTAAACAGAAGAGCTGCAAGCATGAAAAGAACAGTTCAGTCTCCCAAAGCAATTTTAGAAGCATTGGAACATTATTGTGCTGGACCACATGATTCTCAAAACATTAGTGGAAATTGGAATTATTCATCAACTGACAATGGAACTCACTCCAATTTTTCTCTAAGTAAATTTATAGGTAAGTTCAGATTTTAATTTTTATTTTTACCTTTATTATAACTGTCTGTAAATATCTGTACAGATTACATCTGTATATAACAGATTATATACTGATGTACAGATTTATTAATGAAATATTTGATATGCTTAATATGTTCTTAAATTATAAAATCATATCTATTATAATATAATAATGCATTTTTCAATAACAAGTCAATATTTTACCATTTTTAATATTGAGAATTATATATTCTAAAATAAAACTTCTCCAGAAACTGGTCTATACTATAATGTAAAACTCACTACCTTGATATTCACCCAGCTGATTTTTCCAGAAAAATGAATGTTTTCAGTCTACTTCTAAGACCTGCTTCAAATGAAAAATTTCAAACAGATGGAACTTCTAAAGTTTTGATGTTCTAATATGTCAAATGCAGAAGAGCTCACATATAAATTTGAATTTAAATATTCCAGAATCAACCAATAGGATGCATCTAAGTGTAAAAATCCTAAAATCATTTTTCATAAAGATGTATCAAAGAGAGAGCCTTGCCACACTTGTGAAATGTACCTGTCCTCCTCAAAGTTTATACATTGTCCCTGCTTCTCTGCTTTAAAAATTTCAAGTATCTCTAGTACTTTGAGTTGGTCCGTGTTTGCTGCTGTTCTAAAAATAATGTAGAAGTTGTAAATCAGGTTTAACTTCCTTTTCCCCTTTTCACCTGAAGCATGTCTTAGAAGTAGACTGAAAATGTTCATTTTTTTGGAAAATCAGCTGGGTGAATATCAAGGTAGTGAGCTTTTACATTATATATTCTTTTAATTATATTGAATTTTTTTATCTTGAAATTATTTAAAATTTAGTTTTTGATGAGTTTGCATAAAACCTACATTTAAAATAAGAGAAATAACTTTTTTGCTGTTTATTATGTTATTATATTATTTTCAGGTTAAAAAGATGTACAAGGTGTATTCATAAATATGATGATTTTTATTTTAATTATTTTATAATGAAGGAAAATTTAGCATAATTTTGTTGAGAATAAACCAGTGTATATTTTAAAATAGTGGACATAATTTAACATTTTTCAAATTCAAAAATCATTATTAATTGGATGCCAACCTTTAATTTACCACCATCCACACACGAAATTCACATGCGCATTGTAATGAATTTCGTCAAACATACATTTGATTTAATTTGAATATTCACGTTCTATTTTGTTGTTTTGTTGTATTGATTATTTAGTATATTTCACCTGAAGAACTATTTAACAGTTCAAAAACATTAATGATAAACTGTATTATTCACAAAACACACCGGTAACAGGTTCTGGATAGGGTGTTGATGTGTTGTTGATCTTCATTATTAATTAATGCATATTCTTTTTGCCTTGTTATATAGGACAACAATATACCTTAATTATTAAAAAAGGCACTAGAATTGGCCCATCTAATTTGTTACAACTCGGTGTTTCAATTTAAAGGAAAGTTGTACACACAAACAAGAGGTGTTCCCATGGGTAGTTCGGTATCCGGGGATTTATGTGAACTAGTTATTAGACAGGACATTGCCTAAATTCCTCCACGACATTATACTATACAAAAAATATGTCGACGACATCATCATCCTATGGAGGACAACTCCCAACATAGCCTGTTTTTTAGACGAAATGAATGACAACCCGTATGGACTGACATTAGAGATGGAACAACACAGTAACACCAGAGTACATTTCCTGGATTTGGACATAAGATTTGATGATTCCATCATCCGCACATCGGTTTTTCGCAAACCTACTAATGTACCGGCATACATACCAGTAAGCTCATGTGATCCCTTCCAGTACAAAATGGCGGCTTTTAGGGCATTGGTTAAACGAGCTTACACACACTCTTCCACACAACAAGCACTAACGGAGGAGTTAAATTACTTGGAAAGTATCGCCAGATCACACGGGTACCGAAATATTATACAAAAGATCGCAGAGCGCCACAAGCAAACACAGGCTTCTTCCAACATTGTAATCAACACGCAAAACACAAGCAATAATATAGAAAATAGGAGGATACCCATTAAGTTCAACCCTCTATTGAAGTCCCTGTACAACACCATTGCTAAACAAAGAAATGTTAACATAGCATACAGAAGATGCAGCACCTTGTTTGACATCCTACGTAATGAAAAAGATGGATCCAGGATGGAGAGGATATCAGGAGTATATAAAATTCCTATAAGGGATAACAGGTTCAACAGAGATCTGGTATATGTGGGATCAACTAAACGCTCGTTAGAGGTTAGATTAAAAGAACATATTTTGGATATACAGCACAACAGGCACACAACCTCACTCTCCACATATGCCACTGATCCCGAAATAGTGGCGGGCTTCAATGCAACACAGATAATTGCCTCCACACCACATATTCACCAACTAAAATGGCTAGAAGAGATGGAAATTTTTAGGGCGTATGACAAATCCGAGTGTATTAATTCAAAAGAAGAGATCAGCCTTTCCATGGCGTGGCAAAAACTACTCCATAAAGAGTGATAACGAAATTATATTGAGCCGTAAAAATAAATGATATTAGGGAACACGAGAATATTAAATAATCTTTATATCTCAATAACATGTTTTGGATTGTTCTCTTAAATTTGAACATCGACCGTCAAAAATAGAACAATTTCAATTACATCACGTGACGGATTAAGTGAATGGAACGAGTCAAGTTCGGAATCATTAAAACTTTTTGAAATCGATATTCAATCCAGCTGTTATCCTGATGAAGAACCCAGAAGGGGTTATGAAAACGTTTGATTTTTGAAAGAAAAAGTGATACACATCAGTTAAAGGTTCCGTAAGTCAGATTTATTGTATTATATACAACCCGATGTGCAGTGATAGTATATTAGTATATTAAAAAAGTCTACACAAGCAAACTTAACTTTTTTAGATGAAAATATATTCATTTTTTTTATTTATTATCAAAAGTATTTAAAAGATAAGAAAAAAAGGAATCATAAAGCACCATCAGTTATAATAAATCTTTGGATCCATGAAAATATTAATATGTAGTAAACATTATATTTGTAATTTCATGTTATGATATAATATTTTATTATGGATTTGTTTAAAAGCCATAATCTTTCATTAATTAATATTGAGGAATATAGTAAAATTTACAATTACAGCAGAATGTGGTTATTTTAATCCATTGGGATTCTCATATACCCAAATGATTAACATTAAGGGGATAAACAAATAAGTTCTCAATTAATGGAAATTCCAGTTTTATTGACTTTGACATTAAAAGTACATTTGAAAACAATTTTAAAATGAATAACTTGAAGATTTATTATTTTATTTAATTTTGGTTATTCTGTGTTTATATGATCCTTGGTATTTGTATTACTAATTGTGCAAGAATGATTGTTAACCTTTATGTAACATAAAACCCCTTTGTAACCAGTGGCGTGCCGTCCTTGGAAGCGGTGGAAGTGCCACTTCCCTTGTATTTCCTAAAATATAAATACATATTGTGCAATTATTTTCATATTTTAATGTATTTTGAATTAATTAAAATTAATATTTTATTATAACTGCATTATGCATCTTATTACAAATTTCTATACTACATGTGAAAAAAAATGATAAGATTGCTATTGTATATTCGAATATCAGTGGTGGAATGGAAGTGCTGTATTGTCGAGTTACAGGACAGCTTCCATGGTGAAAATGTCTGAATGGTGTAAAGCAGCCAGATTATATGCATTAGCACATTTGCTTTACAGAGAACCAACCTCACCTGGTTTAGCTGGTGGAAGCTACATACGTATAATGCTTCCAACGATTCTATCTGGGACCAGTTCTGGGCTGTTAGCCACCTGTGTGCTAGATATTTGGCTGCCCTCGCCCCATTATGTGAATCACGAGTAGAATTATAACTTAATCCAACCAATAGGAGCTTACTGGTATGTTTTTATTATAGTTCATTATAGTTGACAGGAGTTTTAAAAAAATCCATTAAAATATTTGATATATTTATTCTGCTCTCCCATCTTGTATTTCAATGTTAAACTAGTGATATTATGATTTGGTATGTGCCATCTATAAGGGGATGCAGAAAAAACGTGTACAATTCTTGTACAATGCTAAAAAAATTAACTGTTACTTTGGTAGCATCATTTACAACCAAATTTAATGAATGAGATACAGAAAAAGCTCTAGAATTTATTTTCTTTAAATTTACGATTTATGTATCTGTTGTCATAAAAATTTGTCTTTCCACTTCTTTCCCAAGATTACAAATATTCAGGTACAAAGTAACTGGTTTCGACTTATTTCTACTTAAGAAGTAGTTAAATAATTAAGAGATTAGGGAATTAGGGACATAAATAAAACCCTGCTGAAAGAGCCAGAATTTTACTTAAAACTTAACTGAACCAATCTCTAGCCAAGTACAGTAGGGACTGATTTCTTCATAATATTAGATGTAATAAAGACAGAAATTTTTCCAGTTCAATGAGAGTGAGTGAAAAGTTGGAAATTTTGGAAATTTCTGTGGACACCAGATCTTAAAACAAATTAGATAGAAAACAAAAAATGGACAATCTATTAAGTTTAACATATGTAGATTTTTACAGCTATGGTGAGAAACAGTAAAATTTACAACAACCCTGTCGTGTCTTTTGAAGTATACTAGTGATGCGACAAAAAGGCATTTGATATTGACCAGTATTGGCACCCTCAGGATTTGGCAGCCCATGTGCATGCATGCACTGCACACCTACCAGGACTGTCTCTGATTCTATCCATGAGCCACTCATAGGGAGCAATTTTAACTAAGTGGATTGTTTTAAGATTTAAACAGTAAAGAATATTTTGTTATTTTTAAGTATGCTTCTTTACAAAGCTATATTTAATTATAGTTTTCTTTAAAAGTATATTCATACAATTAAAGAATATTTTGTACCAGGTATGTATATCCACCATACATTTTATTTCACTAAGTTTTTATAATTTTATTTTTAATTTTAGCCCTTATATCGTGGCTAGCTATTCAGAATGTAATTTTGATATTAAAATTACATTTAGAGAAGTCTATGGTTGTTACTGGCTTATCAAACAAACAAATACGAATGGACCCTAGACCATCACTGATGCGTAATTAACTGATTGCCCCTGGAAGTCGGCTTCCCTATCATTAAATGTCATTGCACACCACCGTTAGTAACAGATATCTGTTTTATTACAATAAAAATGATTGAAGGATTGATTTTATTATTATTATTGACAAAAAGCATTAGTGAAGCATCTTCTATGTGGCTTACAATATTATGTTCAATCTCAAAATTTGATTAGTCACTTTTGATAAAACTTTGCCATTTTCCATTTAATACATTGAGGAATCCAAAAAATTATAAAAAAATGGGGATACATGACTTTGTTTTTGAGATACAAGATTATAGCATGAGCATGTGCGACAAAGTGATACTGCACAAATCATGCAACTTTATCAGGCAATGTCCCAAGGTCACTAGCACATCATCTATGGGCTTATAGAATTGAGGTCATTCTCAAAATTTTATGGGCTGATTTTTATGAAACTTTTTCATTAATTGCAATGAAGAATCCAAAAATGTAATGAGGGTCCATTTAAATATAAAAAAATAGGGGTCCATGACTTCATTTTTGATATATAGTGGAGTAAAAGGACAATGTTTATGCTCCTTGACATAATTGAGCATTTCTAATGGAATTTAGGGGAGAAAAATAATAAATAATGTAATAATGTTGCATGCACCCAAAGGAAAATAGATGTGAAAAATGAACAAAACAATCAGTTGCAATTGCTTTGCTCTTGGATTGCCCCTCTGTGTCAGCAAGTGCAAGGATCATTTCTCCATACCTGGCCAGTGCAAGGTATATTAAATTCGATAATTTAGAATTTTTTTTTTAAGTGATAAGAATAATTTTAACTACAAGATGATAAGCCCGGCTTTGCCTAGGCAAAAAATAACAACAAAGGTTAAGACTATTAGATTATTTCATACTTCTAATCTTTCTATTATATAATATTATAGTCAAACGGCCCGATGCAGGCATCGGGGAATACTAAATAGTTAGCATGCATAGAAATGATAAATAATTAATTCCATAGCTGGTGCTCGATATGCCAACAGAGACTGCAATTTTTTCAGTAGATTGTTTTAATTTTACACATTATTTAGTTTTGTTATATTTATCTATATAAATAAAAATGTAATGTTCGTTTGTTTCTAATAGCTAATCTCCGAAAGTTCTTCACCAATTGCTTTAAAATTTTCACACAACATTCCGTTCGAATACAGGCATGCTTTTATATAATATACATGTCAAAATTCCCTCCTCCTGCGAGTTAATAATGAAAAAAACTTATTTTTTAATGAAATCTCATAACAGATGGCACCACACACAATTTTAACTTTGTACTAGTGTGTCTTAGTTTTTCTTAAACAAATATTTTTTGCCTGGAAAATTATGAAATATTTAGCTATAATGGTTTAAAAATTAATTAAATTGTATTTACAATTCCATATTTTTTTTGTTTTTTGTTGACTATTGCCATATAGTTCAAAAGACATTTTTGAGAATGACACTTTGGTTTGAACTTTGGTTGAACATTAAACTTACAGGAGATGAGCTCTCTTAACGACATTTTCTCACGATCCAACTACGTGGTAAGAGTGGGAATACTACCGCATACATTTTAATCAGAAAAATATTAGAATTATTTTTAAAGAGGAATTAATCTATATAAATAAAAATGTAATGTTCATTTGTTCAAAATCTTAAATCTCCGAAAGTTCTTCACCAATTGCTTTCAAATTCATAATTCAATGATAACAATAACTCAGGATATCTTCAATTTGAAGGTTAAGTCTATTTACAAAACTAACATTTTCAAGTCTTTTCTTATCCTTTTACACAACCATAGAAGTAACAGTTAAACGGCTTTAAGAAAAAACGTCATTAAATTGACAAATAATAGATAATTAAAATTCAAACAAAGTTTAAAATTGATATCAAACGTCAACCTTTTATTAGAAGATTTGACATTCCTTACATTAAAAACAGACATTTTCTCACCTTACTATCATGTCCTTAGCCTTTTTAAATAACTGGTTCTGGCTCTCCAGGGATAGTTTTGGGTATTCAGGAACGTCATATCCTCTAATAAAAAGCCTACGTTTGATATCAATTTTAAACTTTGTGTGAATTTTAATTATCTATTATTTGTCAATTTAATGAAGTTTTTTCTTAAAGCTGTTTAACTGTTACTTCTGTGGTTGTGTAAAAGGATAAGAAAAGACTCAAAAATGTTAGTTTTGTAAATAGTCAAATTGAAGATATCCTGAATCAACATCAAGTACTATTAATTAATACTGATAACATTAATTACATTAATGTCACTCCTATTAATTATGTTATGTTGTTCAATGATCTGGGATTAATCTTTGATACTAAACTTACTTTTATTAAAAGTCATATTGATAAAATAGTTAACTCTCTGGCTATTAGATGTGAAATATTATGGTGATTTTGTAAACCTATCTCACTTAAAAGTGTATTAAGAGCTATTTTCTCTACTGATTTTCAATCTTGCATTGATTATGGATTACCCATTTGGTCTGTGGTTGCACCTTCCATTTTGGAAAAATTGTTAGCAGTTTTGATAAAATTTACTTCTTTTAATAAATTATAAATTATGCAAAGTGCCATATATTCAGAATCCCATCTTTGCAAGAATTAGATTAGGTTTTACTTCATTTTTGAGCTTATCAAATATTTCGACCACTTGCTATTTTAAATTTTATAATGGCTTTATTTACTACAATAGGCTATTTTTGTGTCCCCTTTGTAAAACCTACAACCTTCACTTGTGTGTTCACTCCATTTTTTCATTTCAATGTATCTCAAAGGTCTTTTTTACTACATTTCTGAAAATTAAATAATTTTGATTACTTTATTTCTTAATTTTTCTCATTTTAAATTAAAATGTAAAAGTGCATTATACAATTTTTAATTTTATGTATTATTGTCTTTGTTTTTATGTATATTTGTTAATTTTGGGAATAGATATCAACTGTTCTTTGGGACTTTTCTATTTACATGTAAAAATAAATAAATAAACTCTGATTTTCTTGAAAATGCTTGAGAAGTACACTTTACTTAATAAAGGTTCATACCAAGACTTATTCACACAATATTACTAAAATCTGTGATGACCACATTATAATCTCTCTTTGTAAAATGTACTTTGTGGGCCATCTTATTAAAATTTTAAATAATATAAATGTTTGTTTTATTTTTCATAATTGAAGTTTAGACTATTTACAAAAATGAAATTAAATTATTTTTTAATCCCTTATACACCACCACAGAAATAACAGTTTTAAATTGCCTTGAAGAACATTTCTTAAACAAAGGTAAAAAATTGGTAGAAAACTCCACAATGTTAAGAGAGATCAAGTGCCAGCCTTTTCTTGTAGGTTCTGACACTTTTACATTAAAAACACAAAGAATTCTTCTCACCATATTATTTTTAAACTGTTTTATTTTTAATTGACTGTTTCAAGAAAATGGTGATAAAATCTGAAGCTACTTATTTCCATAATAAAATAAATTTTTTTATTTTTCAGATAGAGACATAGATAGTGATAATGAAAGAGAAACTACTGTAGTTGATCAAACATGGCGAAAATCCATTGATAGTGATAATGAAAGCATTGATAGCGAACAGGATGATCCTTTAAAGTATGATTGATTATACTATTTAATTAAGTATAAATTTATGAATTTGCTACATTTTTTTATTATTTTTTATTATTACATCAGGCATGCTGGGGTTTACACTGCTGAAGAAGTAGCAATGATTACAAGAGATAAGTTAATTAAATTGCAGTCACTATATATTGATCAGTTTAAAAGACTTCAACACATATTGAGAGAAAAACGCCGATTATATGTTCGTACAGTAAAATCAGAAAAAGAAACTTTAGGTAAATTTATTATTATTTAACATGCTAAAATAATCAAATGTTTATAATAAAATTTTATTGTACTTTATTATCTTGTCATTAATATCTTTTTAGTTATGTTTACTATAAGGATGTTAAGAAATTAGATCAACAAAATGAAATAGGTGGTAGAGGGTGGTCAATACAAGCAATTTTGGTTCTATGAAATGGTGGTTGTTACAGTACTTTTACAAGATACAGGCTCCTAGAGTTTCTCTGCTGATCTGTATGGTGTGCATGTAATGTTGGAAAGCCTACCATCATTGTCATGTGCCTTGTTTTGAAGTGTAAGTTTTATAAATGTAGACAGATGCATCTTAGAAAAGTGAAACCTGGAATCATAAAAGAGAATGTTAGCTGTTATTTTTTTTATTGATAACCCACTTTTAATTGCATGTCAAATTTTTAAGTGCAATTAACAATAAAAAGATGATAATTATGCAAATACTATTAAAGTATTTGCATAATTATCATCTTTTTAATAAATAATAAATAAAGAATATAAATCAAGATAATAAATAAAGAACATAATAAATAAAGAATATAAATCAAATCCAAAGGAATACCTTTATTTAAGAGTAATTAATGTTTACAAGAAAAAAACTACTACAAAGAAACTAAAGCAGAAACTATATCTATTTAAGGAGTGTTTTCTAGAATTGAGGTGTAATATATTAAAATTAAAAAATTACATAATTTAAGGCTCATTAATGCTTTAATTTTACTTCAAGAACTATTTTTGAACAAAAACACATTAAATGCATTTGAAAATGTAGTAAAATATCTCTATTTTGAACAAAATGGAAAAATTTGATCTGAATAACATATAATTGAAAATTAAATAAAAACATTTTTTTAAATAAATTTAACTACAAGTCACTTTGTTTCTAAATTGTACATTTTTCTTTCTATTTTGAGAAACAAAAGAAAGTTAGTATAAATCAATAAGTGGTCAAGCTATTCAATAAGATGCTGAATTTTGGTTTAATTTGTCCAAAAAGTTTACTCAAAGATTTGTTTTATTACTTAATTTGTTTAATTTCTTCTTTGTTGATAATTTCTTCTTTCTTTAATTAATATTTTAAATCTTGTGTGAATGCTATTTTAATTTGCATAAAATGATTTCTACAGTCTAAAGTTTTAAAAATGAATTGAGTTTCAAAAACAAATATCAAGATTGGGCAAAAAGTATATTAAAGTACAATTCTTAAGCTTCAAAATCATATATTTATTTTTCAACATAGTCACCGTTAATGACATCATCATGGATTTGTTTCATTTCACAGTAAAAAATGCAATATTAATATAAATAATTATTAATTAGCCAGTTAATGAAATTATTTTATCATGTTTATATATAATTTTTAAAAAAATGATTTTATAAACTATCATCATCAAGATTATCTTGTCGTATGTCTAATATTTTTTTTAAAAATTCTGTTTTATTTCAGTTTACCTTGATTTCTGTATTTTGTAATATCTACCCAACTGATATTAAAACAGCAAAACAATTATGGCTCTTTAAAATGAATATTAAAGAATCTTAACATTGCTGTCTTTCAAGTTGATTATTTGAAGTTACCTACTTCAACATGGAAGTAGGTAACTTCAAATAATCAACTTGAAAGACAGAAATTTAACTACACATCATTTTGTTACAAATTTAACTAATCATTTTGTTACAAAGAAAAACAGATGAAAAAAATGCACATGAATTTTAATATTAGGGAAAGGTATCATCAGTTCTCAATTATTTTTATTTGAAGTTACCTACTTCCATGTTGAAGAATGTAACTTCAAATTATGTATAACTAAAGACATTCCTGTTATAATTATATCTGCTTGATTGAAGATGTGATTGATTAAAATGTTTATGTTAAACTCTTGACTTTCATTTAGCCAGTTTTTTTTTAAATCAGTCAAATATAGTATCCTATGAATGTTTTATGTTTTTAATTTAATAAATTATTTTTTCCAATGTTAGGACCAATACAGAACCAAAATAATGATGTTACTTATCAGAAACTGAAAGCTTTACAGAGATATCATCAAATATATGGCAAAGAAGCCATTTTGAAAGCTCAATATAAAGAGAGAAGGAAAGCTATATCAGAAGGAAGTAATTACATACCACCTTCTTATCCCAAATGTGTCTTTCAAGAGGATGGTCACCAGTGTGGTTTTAGAACTATTCCTCTCAGTAAATACTGTAAAAAGCGTATCCTTTACTATGATGTCATAAATTTTTAGGCTATATCAGATTTTCAAATTGTATAACAATAACTTTATTTCAAATTATAATATGAAAATCAAATTAAAAATTAATCGCAAATACTACTAGTAAATTAAATATAAAGTTAAACATTTTTAACACTTACCGCGCTACGAACGTAAAGATACGTTTTCCGCATTCCTTCGCAAAAAACGAAAAACATAGTATTACATTTCTCGAAATACCTTGTTATCTTCGCTTTTAAAACGTATCATTACGTGTGCAGCAAAACGTGAAAGGAGTATTTGTGTTTATTAGTTACTATTTTGACCGTTAGAGGGCATATCAATTTCAAAAATTCAAACGAAAAGTTCGTTTTTAAAATTACTTTTACAGTTCGATTTCGAGTTTGGTTCTCGTTACAATTGTTATACTTCGGATTTTTTATTTTGTTTATTTTATTATTTTTTCTTAAAAAGTAATTAGCGATGTATTCTTAAATTAGCAATGTTTCCTTAGTAAATATGACATATAATATAAGCATTATAATGTTTTTCAATTTTTTTTACGTTGTGTCTATTTGCAAAACATGCCCAAATAATATTGCAATACAATAAATTAAAATATTGCACACATACATCAAAATTGAGTGTAATATAAAGAAATGTTCAACGAATCAGAATCTCTTTACACTTTTTACCTAGCTTCAGTGGAACATTTTCTATCTTCAGTAGAAAATATAGTAAAATCAGAAACATTAGCCAGCACACAGGTAAGAAACTAAATCAACTGGACCAGCACGGTAAGTGTTAAAACTTTCATTATATGAGGGTAGGCTGAAAAGTAATGCACACATGCTTGTAGAACATGAACAAAAACAAATATCAAGATTGGGCAAAAAGTATATTAAAGTACTGTACAATTCTTAAGCTTCAAAATCATATATTTATTTTTCAACATAGTCACCGTTAAGGTTAACACATCTCTCCCAACGTGTAACAAGTTTTTTCATTCCGTCACTGAAAAATTCTTCCAACTTTTCTTGAATCCAGGACTTGACAGCTGCCTTCACCTCATCATGCGAGGTGTAATGATAAACCTTGAGGTCTCTCTTGAGTAGAGGAAAAAAAAATAAAAATCGCAAGGCGCAAGATCGGGAATAAGGAGGGCATGGAATCAAACTTCAGGTTTCGCACAGCCTCTCCAGTTGCTGGCTAGGTGTGTGAATGAATTGTCATGTTGAAGATTATTGGCATCAGGCTGCCTCTAACACAACAAATAATCACCTGGTGCCAATAATCTTGCAACATGACAACGCTCGTCCACACACCTAGCCAGCAACTGGAGAGGTTGTGCGAAACCTGAAGTTTGATTCCATGCCCTCCTTATTCCCGATCTTGCGCCTTGCGATTTTTAATTTTTTTCCTCTACTCAAGAGAGACCTCAAGGGTAATCATTACACCTCACATGATGAGGTGAAGGCAGCTGTCAAGTCCTGGATTCGAGAAAAGTTGGAAGAATTTTTCAGTGACGGAATGAAAAAACTTGTTACACGTTGGGAGAGATGTGTTAGCCTTAACGGTGACTATGTTGAAAAATAAATATATGATTTTGAAGCTTAAGAATTGTACTTTAATGTACTTTTTGCCCAATCTTTATTTGTTTCTGTTTGTGTTCTACAAGCATGTGTGAATTACTTTTCAGCCTACTCTTGTATATATAAGTTTAAAAATTATTATTGTAAAATGTTTAATATTTTAGTAGCAAAATATTAAACATTTTACAATAATTTTTAAACTTATATCTTTATATTCTTATTTAAATTTTACAAATTATATTGAAAAGCTCCAAAAATTGTCAGTAAATCTTTAATTTAAAAAAAAATTGTATTCATTCAGATGATTAGTAAATGTTAACGAAATAAATGTATAATTAGACATTTTGTTTTCAAGATAAAATTTTATTTCTGTGTTCTTATGTTTTATAATCTGGTATAACAGAAATAAATTGATACATTTTCTTTAGTAATCTTTGTCAGATTTTATCATAATCCATAGATAACACAAGTTACAAAAAAAAATTTTTTTTTGGTGCCTAGGATTTTAGAACTGATTTTAGCTATATTTGGGTCACTGAATCCAAATATGAAATCAGTTTTTCTCTATCAGCTCTACTTTTTTAGATCTGTGTTTTTTTAACATGCAGTGCTACATGAAATGTGCAGCTCTAATTCCAGTTTGTACAGTTCTAAATCATATATGCAAGAATTGATTCCTGTATATTTTCCCTATTGTTAGTCTGCCATCCAGTTAGTTCCAGGTAAATCCACCAAATGAAGTAAGCATTCGGTAACGAATTGACGTTCAATGCTTCAACCAGAGTTGAGGTAAGTTTGTAGCCGTGCAGTGTCTAGATCAGTGTTTCCCAACCTTTTTTTGTGCTATACCCCACCTAAGCCTTTCTAAAATTCTTATGCCTCAGTTAAGTATAGAAAAAATTAAAGCAGGAATATTTGACGGCCCACAAATAAGACAACTCATTAACGATCTTGCCTTCGTCAATTCGATGAATGAAGCTGAGCAAAAAGCCTGGACTTCATTTGTTGCAGTTGTCAGAAATTTTCTAGGCAAATGCAAAGCTGAAAATTATGTTGAACTGGTAAACGAGATGCTTAACAGTTTCAAATTCCTTGGGTGTAATATGAGTATTAAGGTGCACTATTTACACAGTCACTTAGACCGTTTTCCTGAAAATTTAGGAGACACCAGTGAAGAACAAGGTGAAAGATTTCACCAGGATATTAAAACTATGGAGGACCGCTACCAAGGAAGATGGGATACGCATATGATGGCAGATTACTGCTGGAGTTTAAAAAGGGATTGCTCCAAAATACATTCACGAAAGTCACAGAAATGAAGCTTCCTTAATGTGTAACTGTTTAGTTTTATTGATGACTTTTTCCTCTATCTTTGTATAGAATAATATTTGCATGATATAATAATAAAAATTTCGTGTTTAGTTTTTTTACTTGATCCATGGATTTAACTTAAGATATTGAAACGTATATTTCGGTAAAATGCTATATCTTAAAAATTAGAGCTCCTAGGCAAAAACTAATGCCATATTTGAATTCAGGACATCAAATTCATATGAAATCAGCTCAAAATACCTGGGCACCAAAACCACTGTTGACCTGTGTAATTGATTTTCATAGATGGATTAATAGATGAATTGATTAATACTAATACATGCTTTTAATACTGAGAGAATTAACTTCAAAAAAGAGAGAATTCACTCTATAGACTTTCCAGTAAAGAAAAATTATTTAGTGGTTTGAAGAATGAATAAATAACTTATGTCAATTGTAATGACAATTAAATGATTACTTTTTAACTATAAATTATATAAATCATCAAGTATAATATATCTTTCATATGTTTTTACAGCTTAATCATCTAGTATTATATACGTGGACACTAACTGTAGGACAAAAATAATGTAAGATATACTGAATAATAATTTGTATTTTATATTCAGACTTTTGTAGTGTTGTTAGAGTGTATTACTTTTAAAATTGTATCATTATCTTTTATGAAAGCAACTTATATTGTATTCTGTCATGAAAGTAAATAAGCAAACAATAAAAAAGACTAATTATTTGAATACTGTTAAGCATTAATCATTTGATAATTTTTACAGTTATTATATATCAATATTTTTTAAAATTATCTATTAGAATTTTTAAATATATTTCATTTTCTATGGAATTAGCTTCTTTAGATTCATGTTATAAAAATTTTTAATCAAATTGTTGATGATTAAACTTAGATTTTCAAAAATTTTATACATCACACATATCTTCCTTGTAACAATTGTCTTCATCTTTCAATAAAAATATGGAAACAAAAGCAGCAGAAACATAAAGAGGATAATCAGTTTTATTTACTGAAGTTAATAGTTGTTATACTTTCTGATTATGAAGTTTTTGTGTGTTCCATTAATTTGTTTTCTTAAGCTTTGGCTATTAGCATGCATTCTGCATTGCTGTTTCCAATTTTGAGGAATCTCATTTGCTTTTAAGGCCAGCTGCCATGTGCACTTTTGCATAGAAGTTTTTGCTTGAGTTAGCCAAATCCATAAAATAAATTTAGAAAACTAGCATCAGGAGACTTGATGAGGATGTCTTTGTTTTCTGAATAATTAATTTCAACTTTATCTTTTGGAAATATGAATTAAGTTGCATTTATGTGATAATGCTTATCAAAGCAAAACATAACTTTGTCCATCTTGTGAGGATATAATTATGGTAGATACTTTATTACTTTAAATCTACTCTTTGAGTGTCTTTAAAACATGATCATGATATAGTTCACTGTTGATCTTGATGCTCAGAGGCACTTTGATGAGTGGTAAAACATTATGCCCACTATTACTCTAACTACTATAAAGACCATAAGCCAACTTTTAATGCAATATCTGAACCAAACCAGGTTGTTTCTCACACTTAATGTAAAAATTCTCCTTTAATCATTGTAATAAGTTAGATACAGCCAAGCTTCATTCAATATGACAAGATATTGCCTTCTACAAGCTGCAAGACTTTTTCATATAACTTTCTGCAATTAATCCTGAGCTTTTTCTCATGACCTTTATTCAATTTATGAATATTCTTTTATTGCCTTATTTTCAAATCAAGATCTTCATGAATAAATTGAACGAGGACTGATTTTGGTGTTCAGTTTATTTGCAATCATTCTCTGAGACAATAAATTTTTCTTTGCTATTTCTTTATCCAACAATTTGATCAAGTGATTAGTCCAGGTCTCTCTTATATTTTTTCTTTTTGCTGCTTTTTCACCAGCCATCATTAATTTGTCTTATCAGATTATAGATTGACTTATCTGAAACTATGTAGTCATTCTTTTTTCTTTTTGATGTTTTATGAACTAAATCTTTATTGGAAAATGATTTTATTAGGATTTCTGTTTTAAGCTGGGCAACTTTTT